AAAACCACATGTATTAATGTAAAAGGTTAATTTGAAATAATTTGAAATTAGTTCCAGCCGATTCTAAAATTCTACAAAGACGTTACGCTGAAGAGACCGGATGTCTCCGAGGAGTTAATTGGCACTTGATAATTCAGAGAAATCCAGCATCTCCGCTCTTCGACTGTAATCACTTTCTAATGCCAACGTGGAAGTTGCCAGCATTAATAATTACGATATTTTGCATAATTAAATTTATGCGATCCGCGCGCATTTTTTTCCACGAAAAATTTGTCGTTGCACACAAAGAACAAAAAAAAAAAGACTGCACTTTTTTTTCAATAAAGATGCGTCCAGCTCGCGTATATGCACGATTACGAATAATTTTATTAAGTTTGTAGTGGTCATGTGGTTGCACAATATTGTAGATACATATATGACGACGATGCAAGTCCATACAATTCCGGCGAATTCGTTCCAGTTCTGGAGAGAAAGAGAGATGCAGCAGCTTCTATTATAGATATAGTAGCTTCACCGCAAGAAGCGCCGCGCCGCGCCGCGTCGCCGTGTAATTGTCTTCGGCTGCAAAAGCGCATAGTCACACCTTATTTATAATCCTGTCGATTCATGACGCTGTGTATATCGCTCTGCCGTACCGATAATTAGTTTTCACATGTACGAACGCAAGCGTATCGTTGCCTGTTTCGCGCGAGGAAGAATCGCGTGATCTAACTGCGAGCGAATAAAATGCGGATAATTTTTACAAAATAGTCAACGATACCGGGGAGAAGATAATTAAGACTCCACTGATACTCGCAAACGAATGCTTGTTGCTTGTTTTCTCAAAACTTACCGGTATTAAATCTTGTTTTTATTATGACTAGACATCACGGGCGCGCGCGTTATTTGTATACGCCAAGTTAAATATCGTAGTAGTGCAATATCACAAACATAAATTAATTCGATCGGAACGACAGTGATGTAAATCAAAGTGCTCGTTACAACGAAATCTGACGCGGAGGATAGATTGTGCTCATATTCTCCATATGCGTAATATTTCTGGTTTCTTGCGAGAGTTCAACTACGGGACATTCATCAAAATCGCGGGGAAATTTTTCACGGGAGTTCACCTTCCATATTCGTTTCTTTCTTTTTATTCTGTTTCAACGCGTATCGATGATTCGCCGGCTGTTTAGCATCTCTGACTTGCTAACGACTCATTAAAGCCGAAGGGTAATTTTTCACTTGCCCGCTCATTAATATTCCTCCTGTGCCACGAACTCTCGAGCCGTTCACCGTGTAACGCGAGAAACGTCGGAATCGTCGTCCAATCCTTCTCGCACTCTCCTTATGGTCAGAGATAATGAGCGCGCGAGAGATAATGCGGAAAGATCCTTTGGGACTCGCGTTCCGGGATATCGAGGGACACTCGACGTCGGCAGACGAGCGTAATTTCGTGTGGCTGTAGTCCGAGATGTAGTCGGTAAGAAGAAGTCGATTGAAAATTATTGCGCCCGTAAAAAGCGCGCATACGTGCCGCGAGAGTTAATTCGCTGTAACTTATCTCCCTCTCGCGTCATCGAAAATATCGTGGATAATATATTGCGAGTTTGTGCCGCGATACGCAAACGTAGGTGCGGAAGCTGCGAGCGTCCGCTGTTGCGAAAATGATTGCTATGTTCATTCGATCATCGCTGGTGATTATCGTGCTGTAAGAGATGCGCTATAAAGGGTATATTCTTCTCTCGGTGGCCGGTGCCACCAGTATCGTCGATTGAACCGGCATCATCGAGATTACGTCCAAGTTTTCAATTTCTAATTACAGCCGAGGCGGAGGGGCAGCGGTTTCTCTCTCTCTCTCTCGTTCTCTCATGGGAAAAAAAGTTGGTTGTACAAATCTTCCCGCGCGTCGATCGCGCACCGCCAATTACCGAGCACCCTGTATACTCGCGCGGCGCGACGATATCCCGCGAATGCCGGGCGTAACCGCGTCGAGAATTGGGTGCCGGGCGTAGCGAGCGGCAACGGGAGATACCAGCAGCTAGAAACGACCAGGAGGAGAGAGAGAGGTTGGAAACTGTGATGCCCGCAAAAAGCATGGCAGACAGCGCCGATCGTTTTTGCTCGGCGTCAGCCGCGTTCCTACCGCCGCGTCGTCGTACTTCGTGGTGGTACATCGTTCTACCCTCTCGCTCCCTCTCACCCCTTGGTCTTCCCACTCTCGCATTCATCCTCCCTTCTTGCCTCCCTTCCTGCCCTCTTCGTCCTCTCTCTCTCTCTCTTTCTCTCGGACATAAGTTCCCTCTGTCTCTCTTTCTCATTCTCTCCCCCTTCCTCCCCCTCTTTCTCTCTCCCGCGCTTTGTCCCTCTCCCGCCTTCCCTGTGTCTTTCTCCTTTCGCTGTGACACTCGGGTTGTCGCAATCCATCTATCTGTCCATCTCTCCATCTCTGTTCCCATGTTCCGTTCGCCTCGGAGTCGTGCAAACGGATGGGATTACCTTCTCCTTCTTCTTCGCGGTTTACGCATCCAGGAAAATGGATTACACCGTATCGCTGCCTGTGAGAGAATACGAATAGCGGGATCCGGTGACGAAAGCGCGCGTGCTTCTGGAATCGAGATTTCGTCATTAACTTCATCATCGGCTGTCAGGGTTGATTGGTGCGCGAAGGGCGATATCGGAACAATCGGGTATCGATCCACGTCAAGTGGAATTCATTTTCACTTGATGGCTCTAATTGTCCTGATCAACTATCAATTGCCAGATGGGCAATTTAGCGCATATCGGAACTCTTCATCGTGGTTCGCATTCAAGATAATACAATATCAATTTTTGTACCTACTTTCGTTTTACACGAATTTCTTAGATACGCGACGCGCAAGCATTTCAGTCGAAAATTACGCGGCTTCTCACAGTTCAAGAAGCGCGGTCTAACAATAGGTATCGATACGTTTCGATTTCGCGCATTCTCCTCGCAGTCTTAGATCCCGAGTGTATCTTCAAGCTCCTTCTTAGGAACATCTCCGCGGCCCCTGACAGGCTTGACTAATGGTCATCCTGCATCCGCCCTCCGGCTTTATACTTCTCCGCGTCTCTTTCTCTTTTTCTCTCTCCGCGATGCTCACGCAACGCGACATCTCCGTCTCTCTCCCCTTAGGATCGAGGATATCAACCGTTCCGAGAGCATTCTAGTTCGCTAACGAAAGGGATCAACGAGTTTTCTGACTTGCCCGAAATACTCTCAGAATCGGCGAATCGTACAAATATTTAGACATTCTGAAGAAATTTACGTCAACTTATTTCTTATTAAAGTATTTCGACAACAATTTATCTCAACGGATCTCGTAATCCTAAGTAATGCGCTATGAAACAGGTATCGGTAATCAGAATATATTGAGGCTCATATATCTTGTGCGTAGATAATTTTTAAATTGCCAGAATATCGAGAAGAAATATCGTGGTATTTTATGAACGTTGGTTGTTAGGATAATTAGGAACCTGTGCAAAAAACCTAATTGTCTGTTACTTAAATAAGAGGATTTTTCTCCGGTTCCTTATATATATATAGCTCCGGTCACAACCAACCCGGTGAAACGAATGGATTCTTTCTCGTCAGCTCTACAAATTGAGTATTTAGCCTCTGTCATATAATAAGATACCGTAATTATTCATTCATCCACGAAATGATTGTTACAAAAAACCTCGATGGGACAAAATGGCGAAGAATAGAAGATCGATCTTTTTCTTTTTTTTTTCTTTTACAAGGGCTGTAACTTGGTTCCGTCGACCTTCGAAAATTCACTTTCAACTTTGACTTAAAGGACTTAAACAATGCAGTTAGCTATAAAACTATTTCCCTTGTAGAAAAATTTAGCTTGTGAGGTATATAGTCCGGCACATTGTTTATCGACCTGACTATATTGTCTCTCCCTTTCCGAGAACTTCAAGCAAAAGTGACGAAAGCACGGTATATTCGTATAGGTATATTAGCGTCTACCTCTGAGAATCAACGAAACGCGATAACTTATACTGATATGAACACTATTTTGTCAATTTCCGGGGTTCTGCGAGGCGAAATATGGCAATCACGTTGCAACATTAATCGCGATACGCATTTTGATTGTTGTGTCGTCAAAATTTATGAAACAGGTTTTCGTATTATTTCGTATTATTATTTATACATTGACGCCCGCTCCATCCTCAACAGAATACGCGATCGTAAAATTCTGCACGGTCCTCGTAAATTAGTTAAACGAGGAACTCCGATGGAGCTCTCGTATAGTCCAAACCGCGCCTGCAAGAATATAAAGAGCGCAAAAAGAGGAATAAACGTGAATTGTTTATTTGAAATAGATCCTTAGAATGTCGCTTTTTTCCACTTTTAACATAATATGTCTCTGAAATTGTCATCAAAATTCAAAACTTCAATGAAAGTTGCGTTAAATAGACCTTTTTTTATTAGATGCTTCGTTGTTAGACCTCTGCTGTTTATCGGTAGCAAATCGTTAGCTCGCTCAACAAACATTTACAACTATGCATCACCTATGCACGCCTACAGACGGTTTCATTAATCTGACATTTGATACGGGCGCAATTTACAATAACAACGAGCAATAGCAGCGAGGAACAGAAGGAAGGGATATTCGTCCGCATATTTTTCGATGTTATCGACAATATCGCAGTTTTCGTGTTTTTTTTTTTTTTTTTTTACAGGGAGGGAATAATAATAATACCTACGCTTTTCGATGTATCCGGGCGTAAAAACAAAATGCGCGAACAAATAAATTCTCGCGACGTTTTTAAAATAATAATATGTTCTCTTCGATTTTCCATGAGATATTTGTCTCGTTAAATAATGAGAAATACTAGATTGGAAATATAATGGCTGTGCAACATAGTAAATTACGATCAAAATGTCCAAATGGGCAATAAAATTTATAAACGAGTACTCCTATTAATACACAAGTATCATACATTTTTTTTCTCTCTGTCTCCAACGGCTGAATCTTGGTGTGTTTCAGTAAGCAAGCTGTGTTCGACGGAAAGAAAGCGATCAGGGGCGGCATACCGTTCGTCTTCCGTAAGTATAACAGACAAAGCGTGTTTTATGGCCGCATAGAAAAAAAAATGAAATAATTCGAGCAAAGTTTAACGCGACGGCATAATCTCACGCCGCACGCGTGCGAATCCAAATTGCTGATAAAGAAAGCCAATTCGAATGTCGTGTAAAAATTTAACTGCGAGTCTAATTAAAAAATCTAAAACAGCAGCGATATTTGCACGGTCCGACACGATGCATGTTATCCCCGCAGCACAATTCGGATCGTGGACGTTCGGGCCACCCCACGGCTTCGCCAGGATCATGCGTTGGAACGTGGAGAAGTCGCCGGAGCGATTGCCCAGCGGGGACATCGAGGCAATATTCTCGATAATGGACAACGACTTCACGCGATCGCTGTGGAACTCGCAGTTCAGGCTAACGTACAGGCTAATACTGCGTGAAAAGGAGTTGCATTTCAATATCGGCGTGTACAATCCTAGCAGAGAAGACACTTTCAGCTTTAATCTGCTCTTACATACTTATTTTAAGGTACCCGATGTCAGGAGATGCCAAATCACGGGACTGCACGGATGCACGTTCCTCGACAAGGTAGGGAAAGCCTTTTTTGCATGCTATAAATTATATAAGCTGACAATTGAAATGTAAATGTAAATGTAAATCGATTGAGAGATTGGTCACTGAAAATTTCACTGCAAGGCTCACGGAGAAGAATCGCTTGTTTTCAATTAATCGTAACTATCTGATTATTAATAACTCAGTGGAGAGTCGACTTTAAAACTTGCGCAAAAAGATCTATCATTACATTTAAAGATGAGTCATTAAAGAGTCAGCCTGGAGCAGTGTGTAGCGTATACGTACGATGCTTCGTTAACACGGAGTCCGGGGCACAAGTGATTATCGCAACCACACGCATTACGGATTATCCTGCCTCACACGAGTAATGTTTCATTCACGCACACAGACTAGGGAGAACCAAATCTTCCAAGAAGGCCGCGATGTCGTCACGGTGTGCGAATGGACCGACCGGGTCTACCAGAACACGCAGCCGGAGCATATCATCACGAATGTCGTTTCCGGTAGGAAGATGCGCGTGCAAAAGTACAACTTTCCCGACACGGTCGTCTGGAATCCCTGGCAGGAAAAGGCGCGCGACATTCCGGACTTCGGCGACGATGAATTTCCCAACATGATATGCGTCGAGAGCGGCCACGTCAGTAGTCCGGTTATATTGTTGCCAGGAACGGCCTTTGAGGCGAGCCAGATATTACAGGTGAGTTTATTCCTATCCTACGTCGATCGGTAACGCGAAATCGTGCCTGTCGGCGCAATTAACGACAGAGGCGTAGATTATCGTAATATCGTTCTAATACAAATCAAGTCCACATACGTAGCGTATAGGTAGAACAAAGATTCAAACTGTCGATATTAATACCGCGTTTAAATCGTAATCTTCGAACGTACGAAAGTCGTATCGATCTTACATCGATATTTTGATATTCTCTCATTGATAACTTTCTTGCATTAATATTCTAGCATTTAATATTAAACCCACGAGATTTTATTGATTGTCTGAAGTCTGAAGACGCGTCAGGCGCGCTCGCATTTAATTGCGTGACGAAACTAGACTCTCAATGTAATTCGAGTCGTCATACTTTACCTGAAATCTTACGCTATTACCCGTAATTACGATCATTCGTGATACCATTACTCCGTAGCTACGAATAGAAATTGACCGAATAATTGAGCCAAGATTTTTTTGCCTCATGTGGACTATTTCATGTGGACTCGTTTGCAAACTAAGAGCTTTTCGCTTTTTATAGTTATGATTTCAATTCGCGAGACAAATATTAAAACCTGGTGCGAAACGAGAAAATATTTTGCATGAAATTATTTATTATTAAAGTGGCTCTCTATTTATCAATATATATTATTGTATTAAAACACTGCCATTATTATCAATTAAATATTATTAAGTGCTTTATATACCGCATAATTTCTTAATACTGAGATTTATATTCGGAGGCATAAAGTTACAAGCTTTTTGTGGAACACTCTATACAATCTGATGACGTAACGTTATATTAATTCAGCATAAAGTATAAATAGCGAAATGCGAGCTGCAAATGTCGCAATATTTATTCATTACTATGATAAAAATTCTTGCAAATTATAATGTTCCTCGTGTTTGCGTACGTATACGTATGTTTCAGCCACTTTTATGAAAAATTTTAACTACCAGAAGTCGAAAACCATTGAACAAGAAGGATCCTAGGATAATCAAGTGCACTTATACCGCCTGTTAGATGTAATATTACAGCCAGCGGAGCTACATTTGTGAAACGTAATAAACTACTATGTTTCCATCGACTTGTTCAAGGTGATGTGAGTAGAGAGTGGACCGACGTCGCACGTCAATGCCGGAGGCGGTACCAATTCGCTGCTTCCGACATCCTCAGCATCGTCGTCCGCGGTCTGGCCAACGGGCACAGGGTGGCTTTACATGCCGCCCCCACCGCCACCCCCGCCGCCTCCGCCGCCACCTCCACCACCGCCGCCGTCGCATCCGTCGCACTCGTCGCATTTGCATTCGCATTGCGTTGCCCAAACCTGCACGATATGTTCTTTGAATCTTTAGGAATCTTTAGACCCGAAGTGAAGTCTGCAAACTATGCGAGAACCCCAGATCTCTTCGTTTCTCGCTCCTTCGATTAGTCTTTTCCTCGAAAGACTCGAGATCCACAACATCTCACGGTGGAGAATGTATTTTTTTCTTTTTTTTTGTCGTCGAGTCTATCGAGGTAACCCGCGTGATAAAGGCAAGTAACTACTAGTTAATTTTATTGAAGAATCTGTCTTCCTTCATTCCACTTATTTTTATCTTTGTGCTTCGTCCGTGTTTTATGATAGGAATCACGAGAAACTAAATCCAAAACGACTAATCGAATACGCGAATGTGAAAGATCAAAATCGATCTATGTATCTCTCTTTGTTTTCCGCCGTCCAAATAATAGAATTTATAAATGAGTCAATTACATTATCTGAAGACGAGATCGCATTATTTCATTTGCAATAATTATTTTTCCTTTATCAAAGACATTGAAAAATTGCAGAGAGGTACTCGCATAAATATTACACGGAATAGGACCCTTTTGTTAGTTTAAAAAAAAAACATCCTAAAAAACGAGCGAATTAAAGTTCACTCGATCCGTCACAAATATGCATACATTCCATATATAAATGGAAAGCGAAAGAAATATATGTCCCGTTTCGTACTCTTGACTCATCCCGTTTAGGTATTAGCACGCAATATATTGTTATAGGTGTAGATTGATATTAGGCATGTAAGTGATTTGTTAAATTTACATACGACAAAACTTTCCCTACAGAGTTTCCAAGTATGATGTAATTAATCGTTCGTTTTAATAAACGACGATTCGATCTAGTTTGCTTGCTGCAAAATGTATATTTGAAATTAGTAAATAGCAGAAAATGCACTTGAGACATATTTTGCGTTATATGAGCTATAACAAAAATGTTCTCGAAAAACTTTATATATACATATAAAGTTTAAAAATGTTTAAAGGCACTATACACTTAATTATTTTCTCGAACGCAAAGAGTCTGGCTTAAATGTATTTTTATTTGTTTAAATTAATTACGTGTACAAACCATGTACAAAAAGACTTTTAACGTTTTTTTTTTAATGCAACTTTTATAATCTTGTGCTAATTGGCTTACGCAAATTTTAATACATTTTCAGAATTTTCATATATGTATGTAATTAAGGAGATTTTTGAACACTTTCCCTATTGCGTATTAAGCGGAAAATAATTCTGAAGTACAAAAAATTTTCTATAATTTAATTAAATAACACAAGTCTGCATGATTTTTATGTCTGGGAAAGAAAAGTAGTTTCTTATAGTTTTTTTGTAAAACGCTAAATCCGAATCCGCAAGCAAAACTGTCAGATTCACGAGAAAAATAATAGAGTTAAATAGAGTTAATTCGTAGCTGACGAACCAGATGTACGAAAGACTTTTTAAAAGTCTTTTGCACATCTAATTCTTCAGCTATGAATCTTCAAAAAAGGTCAAAAACGCGTTTTTAGGGGGTCTTTAATTTATTTTTCTCGTAAACCTAACATGATTGAACACTTTTGCTTACGGATTTGGATTCAGCGCATAAAAAACTGTAGAAAACTATTCGCTTTTTCCAACACCATAGAAAAAGTCAAATTTTGCAGACTTGTGTAATTAATTATGTGAAAATAATCAGATTAGATTTATTAAATTTATTTAAAAAGAAAGAGATTTTTTGCAATTTTATAATATTTTAGCATAAGAGAGAATCGATTTTATGTAATTCTTTCAAACATTACGGATAAACAGCATGCTACGTGTGCGTGAGTTTGTTCAATATCTCTATAATATATAATTTACCTATGAACAATACGAATATGGTGCTATTGTTACAAAATAGTGTTGTAATGATAAGTCGCGCAACACACACGCACGCACGCACGCGCGCACGCGCACACACACACACACACACACACACACACACACGTACACGCATATATACACGCATTCGTACATACATACACGCGCACACATACAGACATAAACTAGATAAGCTCAATCAGGCATTTTTCCGTAATGTAATTTTACACAATCTTTCTTCAGAATTTTCGAAACTACTGTCCCGAAAATATTGCATATTACATTTGTTCATATGCAAAAAGAAACGTTGCATCATCGAAATAGACATATAAGACAACATTTACTGTAATATTATTACATATATTAGCATAAAAATTGCATGTGCATACGGAGAACTTTGTAAAAACATTGACCATTTAACACGTTTAACAGAAAGATGAAGGAAATAGAAGCAAAATTTTGCCGCCCATTTTTAGATAATTGTATTATTATTAAGGTATCACGAGAACTAGAGACACTATTCTAAGGCTCAGCCGAAACTCAATTTAAGTAATGGCGAGTTAAGTTAATTAAACTTTATACCGAAGATAATTGAATTTGTAATAAAAGCATCGAGCATTTTTTCAACTCAATTGTGAATTTGACAGAGATAAATTAAAATACACAGGACCATATATTTTAATATAAATTTTTTACTTACAAGAAAGGACAACGTATTATTATCTTATTAAGTATATTTAATAAAAATACGCGAAATAAATTGACTACATTGTAAAGTTAATTGTGTGAGTGAAAAGAAATCGGCAAAAGATCACGCATGTCTCTATTTTATATAAATATATAATCTATGCCAACGCGCGCGTGCGTATTAGTTTTATTCAATAGCCGAAATACATTCGGAATCGACAATTTTTTTACGTTATATGGATTTCCAATGTCATGTACGTAATATTAAAGTATTACATGTAAATTCTTCAAATCAACTATCCCATATTAGTAGTGTACTATTATAATTAAGTAAATGCTCAATATAGCGCGCTGTTCCTTGCATATTGTAAACTTGCAGTCAAACGAAGGAAAAAAAAGGAAAGACGAGTGGAACGTTCCTGCTTATAGATGTTTTATAGTACGCGAAAAAAAGTACAGCCTAGGAAATCCGAAACAATAGCCACTCGAATAAAAGAGTTGACGTTCGGCAGTTTTTGCAGATCGCAGAGAATGCTAGTTTCACGAGGGTTTTGGTCTTTAGAGGCTCGACAATACGTTTGTCATTTAGTATAGTGTACATTCTTTTCTTTTCTTTCCCCCCACGTTTATTAGCACGTAAGGTTCGGTCTTCCACCGTTGTGACATTTATCGACGTACACCGTACACCATTTCTCATTCGATTCAATGTTAATATCCACGAATATTTGTGATTAAAGCGAACGTATGAAATCGCGATTAAAATTAGTACGTTAAGAAAGTGTACTCTTTTTGGGAAAGTGCAATAAAAATGTGGGAAATACGTGTACACGCTACATTTTCTCTTTCACCGTTTAATACGTTGTATTTAATTGTAGACGTATTAACTGTTGAATGTCGAACTGTTACTAAACGATTTCTATGACGTATTGTGATGCGAGTAAAGCGACATACCGTTCGGGATGAGACGAAAAGATTTAAGAGTTATGCATGTATTGTTAAAATTTGAACAGTTTATTACAAGCGAGAGGGGACGATAGTGGCACATGCGTGTGTCTAACAATCGTTCGCTTGTTACACATTTAATTACACAACATATTAAATAAGTTTGGATTTACAGAATTGGAACGTAGTACTACAAATATATCGTATTATTTAATATCCTTATACCTAGAGAAACCAGTCAAAAACGCGTGTTCTCTTTGACTGAATTTAGGTGTAGGTAACGTCAAGTTTTGTACACACTGATTATAACTGTTTTTGTGAGCAACGTGTAAATAACAAGATAATCGAGGCTAGGTCCAGAGGCATGTCATATGGTCGACACACCCGCATACGGCCGACAATGGAAAAATTCTCTAACATCGAAAACATGGTGATTACTTTCTCCGTCCCCGGTATAAGCATCGATCCCTGTGTTCCGTACAATCGTGAATCTTTTTAGCATAGCCATTGGATGCGATATAGCCGTTTCTTGTCGTAAAAATTTACACACTTTCTCTGTGGAATTATCCCGCTGCCTGCTTCGACTTATCCCCTGGTTCACCTTGCTGTTTCTTAAGCTGTTTCTCTCGCATTCGTTCCGCGTCGCTGTAAAAGATGAAAGATTCCTTTATAAAAAAATCTATTTCTATTCTCTCGAATGGGAAAAAGGTACGGATATCCCCCCTGAGGAGACTTACCGTGCTTTACGTTGTTCCAAGGAAAGACCTTTATTGCTGTCTTGTTCGGACGCTGCCTTTTTTGAGGTTTTTTTCAAATTCTTGGCTCGTGCTAGTTCACGTTGATTTCCGCCTGTAACGCAATTAACTAATTAACGTTTTTTTTAAGGAAGTATCGAATTTTTTCAATTTTAATATAATTTTTATTTTTTTCACTCCGCAAGTTTTCGGTTTATTTATTTATTTTTTTCTCTATTTTCGTCCCCGTTTACTCGACTCGACCAAGGTGCTCATAAAAAGAGCGCTACTTATCCGCGCGTGCGCACGTGCACGTAAGTCAAAATCGTGTTCTTTCGACCGAACTAGTATGTAAAATGAACGCGCACGCAACTCTTAAACGTAACACTCGTGATTTATTAATGAACACGATCCACGATCGGCAATGCCCCGCGATTTAACTGCTCCGATTACTTTAACTGCAATCTTCATCCGCGTCGTTCCTCGTTCCGAGTTCGAAAGGCGTCACGCTTGCACAAAATGGCGGACGAGTAAAATGCGACGCAACTACGCCATAAATCATTTTTTTGTTCACCATATTTACTCCTCGGAATCGATCGCTGTCAAATCCGGCGAAATTAATTTATTCACCGTGGATAGAAAGAAACCTCGATCTCACGCGATCGCGGCTCGAACGCGCGCCGCCATCGCGGTTCCGCATGTCATCGAGGTTAACAACGAGGTTTACGGAAATCGAGAATCGAGACCCATCGCGTGTCTCCGAGAAGTGGAGGCTACCCGTTCGTAAACCATGTTCGACTTTTCTTCCTCCACCTGTCAAGACACGCGATTTTCTCAATCCCGCGAAATCGTCGAGACTCGCGGGACAGACTCGTAGGGACCCTTTTATCTCTTTCATTCTTTTTCTTTTATCGCGTTATCATCATCGAAAAATATTGACCTTTCCTTCGAAAACAGCCTGCAGAACGAGAATTCTCGAGGGTACTCGGAGCGCATCGTCTGGCGCGGCGGTGTGCTCCTTTCTTCCTCGACGAGTCAGCGACGTTTCGCGCGACTTCGCGCCCGGGACGTTTGTTCGCGCGTGCGACAAATCTCTGCGAGAGTCACCCGTGATCGCGCGGATCGTTACGCGGCGACCTTATTTTCAACGTTAACGACAATGGCAGCCGCGGAAGAGTTTTACGGGCCGTCAAACTCGCCCGTCACGCCGTGTCCCCCGTCTCTCTCTCTCTCGTCGAGTTGTCGCGGCGCGATCAGGGAACGACCCGACCTCGGCGACGTTTCGGCTGGACTTACGGGTCATTTTTTTTTCTCAGTTCTTGATCTCCGATAAGCAAGCACTTAGAAAATTCGACCACCCGAATCGGTGCGAAACGCACGGCCCGACGATACGCGCAACGCGCACACACACATACACACACTGCACACACTCGCGGGCTCGCCGCTCGCGCGCGCGCACGAACGCACACGGCTCCTGCGGACTAATTTCCAAACCAAAATAAATATGGTTCTGCGTTCTGCGTCGTCTCCGTAGAGCCTCCTTGCCCCCTTGTCTCCCCCTATCAACCCCTCTGCCGCAATGATTGGCAGTGATGCCACGTGTCTCGATCCTAGTGACATTCGCTCCGGCCGCGTTGTCCGCGTTCGATTAAAAAAGAATGCTACGCCAAAGTTGAATTACCTCGACTTTCCAAGTCGGCACATGGTCGACAGAAATGTAAATCCTAATTTACATACGGATTAGAACTGGAGTTTTTCTTAAAAAAACCGTTACGTTTCAAAGCTGACATTTAAATTTAAAAATTTTTTTAATAAATTTTTCTTTTACCCGTTTAATTTTACTACGGGTCTCTTTTATGATTCAATAAAAATAAGACCATACATTACATACATATTTGAAAATATATTTTTTTGTGCTTGCTTTCAAGTTTACTTTAAAAGACAAAGTTTCCTAGAATATTCTTTAAATATATAATATTCTGGAAAAAACAGACGCGTTTATACATAGAAAAACTAAGTTGTAGTTTAGATCTACGAATTCCTATAATCAATTTAATTTAATTTAATTATTTGATATAATCATTTTAATTTTATTTAATTTTGCAAATTTTGTTCTGTAGTATTATATATATATATACTAATCAAAACATCTTTTATCCGTTATAACAATGCAATTAAATTTAGAATATACACGCCAAAATCGTTTCTGTTTACATAATTTACAAAGATAAAAAATAGCTTACGTATTCGAGACATAAAAGAGCTAAAATACCAAAGTAATAAACTCAGGAGCTGCATGCCGTGCAAGCGTCCCCATTTTTACGCGAGCAAGCGAGCATTGTTTCCAAATTTTTACTTGCTTGCTGACTTAATTGTTTTCCTTTTTCGACATCATTGTCGTTAACACTTTTGTTGGGTGACTTGATAGGAGTGCTGTTGATAAGGCTGTTGATAGTGTTGTTGACAGAGCTGTTGATAGCAGAGGTGCTGCCATTGGAAGTACTCGAATCGCGACTTTGTAATTTTGATTTGTCCACTGTGAATTGTATAGGATTTGCGGCTGGTTTTGTTCTCAGGTAGTACATGCCAGTCTTTAAGCCCTGTAAACGACAACATATTTTCATATGAAATGATGGCTCGTACAATTTCATTAGATTCTTTATTTTGTGTAATGACAAGATGTTGGAAGAATTCAAGGGAACGTGTTACTTAAATAGTGTAAAAGTTAAAAAAAAATCCCGAAATAGATCGCTTACTTTTTCCCAACCGAAGAAATGCATCGATGTAAGCTTCTCAGTCGTCGGATCCCCTATATGAACATTCAAGGATTGCGACTGATCGATGAAAGCTCCTCGATCAGCAGCCATTTCGAGAATCACTTTCTGCGGTATCTCCCATACAGTCTTATAAAGCGCTTTCAAATCATCGGGAATACGTTCAATGTTCTGCAAAGTACACATATACACTATCTTAGAATCGCGCTAAAATAATTCGAGCGACAGGAACGTTTAGGAGATATTTAAAGGGATTTACTTGAACAGATCCAAAATTCGCGAGTATCTCGTTTTGCATAGCTTCGTCCCATAAACCTCTATCGGTCAAGTCTCGCAGTAGATGGGGATTGACAATGACAAATTCTCCAGACAATACGCGCCTCACGTAGATATTACTCGTGTATGGTTCAATGGACTCGTTATTCCCTAAAATCTGTGCCGTCGAGGCTGTTGGCATAGGTGCTATTAAAAGCGAATTTCTTACTCCGTGCTTCGCGATCTTCGCTTTCAATTCATCCCAATTCCATAAATCTGTCGGCTTAACGTTCCACATATCGTATTGGAGGATCTGGGGGGGGAAAAAAAAAAAAAAACAAGATTATACGACTATAATGTACAGATAGGATGTTCCGCGATTAAAATTTTAAAATACTTACGCCTTTGCTGACCGGACTACCTTGATATGTCTCATAAGTTCCTTTTTCCGCAGCTAATTCGCAACTAGCTTCTAACGCACCGTAATAAAGCGTCTCGAAGATCTTAATGTTGAGTTCCTTCGCTTCTTTGCTTTCGAAAGGATATCGCATTAATAGGAATGCATCTGCTAAACCTTGTATACCGATACCTAAGACACAATGTTCAGTTTTATAGTATAATTAATTATATAAAATTAATGACAAAATCGATTGAGACTGAATGTCATAATCTCACCAATAGGTCTATGTTTTTGATTAGATGTTCTCGTCTCTTGGATAGGATAAAAATTGACGTCAATGACTTTATCTAGATTACGGGTGACGATTTTTGTGACTGTTTTAAGTTTATCAAAATCGAAAGTTTTGGTGTCTGTATTGACGAACATGTTGACAGCGATAGACGCTAAATTGCATACAGCGACTTCTCCAGGGCCGGAGTATTGAAGAACCTCGGTGCACAAATTGCTGCATTTAATAGTTCCTACATGCTGGTGATTCGATTTTCGATTACAGTGATCTTTGTAAAGCATATAAGGTGTTCCAGTTTCTACTTGTGATCTGAGAATGGCGAGCCATACAGCTCTGGCCTGCACTTGCTTTCTGTAGCGACCTTCCTTTTCATATCTAGAAGTGTTCCATACAACGTTATGCAACGTTTACAAAAGTTAGAGGATGAAAAATATAAGTTACCAGATAGTTAAATAATTAATAGAAAGAGAACGTGACTGCTAATATATACCTAGTATACACGTCTTCAAATTTATCGCCCCAAACATCAGCTAAACCAGGAGATTCATATGGACACATCAAACTCCACATCTCATCATTATACACACGTTTCATAAAAAGATCTGGTATCCAAAGGCCATAAAATAAATCTCTAGCTCGCATGTTTCCATCACCTGTTCAAAAGCATACGATACATTATAATTATAAACAACAACAAAATAAACGGATAAACGTCTCATCCATCTAATCTATACTTCTACATTAAAAAACAATAAAAAAAAATTACCGATGTTCCTCTTAAGTTCCAGAAAATCGAAGATATCAGCATGCCATGGCTCTAAATAAATAGCAAACGCTCCAGGTCTTTTGTTTCCTCCTTGATCAACATAAATAGCTATTTCGTTATATAATTTTAGAACAGAAATCAAGCCGTTAGTTGTATTCGTATCTTCCGCGCTTTTGGCACGAATGCAATGTACATTAAGTCCTATTCCTCCAGCGTATTTGCTAATAAGAGAGCACTTTTTCAGCATACCGTAAATACCCTTTATACTATCATCTTCGAGGGTTAGGAGGAAGCAGCTGCAAGAAAATACGTCTTATTAAAACATTAATGCTTCAATATTATTAAACTAATCAAACTCTTTCAAGATTACCTAGACATCTGCTGATTGTTAGTACAAGAGTTGAATAGCGTTGGTGAAGCATGCGTAAAATATCGTTCAGACAAATAATTATACGTTTCTATGGCTTTGTCAACGTCATTTTCGTGAATACCAACAGCCACTCTCATCAACATGTGTTGAGGCCTCTCCACTATCTTCCCATTGATTTTCAGCAGATAGCTTCTCTCAAGCGTTTTAAAACCAATATAATTATAGCTGAAATCTCGATCGTATATTATAGCAGAATCCAGTCTCTCTGCGTTATTCTTAATAATATTATAATAATGTTCGCTGATTATAGGAATATGTTCATTCGTGATGGGATTCTTGGCGTAATATAAGTCATGCATAACCTCTGTAAAGTACAAAAATTAAACATTGATTTTAATTTTAAATCTCATGTTAATTAAACATAAAAAATCAAGAATTATTAAGAATTTTATGACAGAAATTGACTCAAATAAGTAAACGCAAGATGCTGTACCGCTGAAGCACTTCTTGGTTTCCTTGTGCAGGTTAGACACATCAATTCTTGCCGCTAATATAGCATAGTCAGGATGGTTAGTTGCCATTGTAGCTGCAGTTTCCGCCGCAAGATTATCAAGTATAACTGTAGTTACTCCAGAATATAAACCACGTATCACTTGAAGCGCCACAGCAGCCTACAATAAATTTTTGATTATACAAATTGATATTACTAAATTTGTAAATTTTTATTTGCATATGTAATATTAATTTATATCCATTTTTTTAAATCTAATATATATATATATATATATATACACACAATTTTATAAAACTTTTAAAGATACTATACTTATACACCCCATTTCTTCACATATCATCATATTGCAAACTTATATAAAAAATAAAAAGATACTTACTGGATCCACATACTTCGTATCTAAGTTATAGCACTGTTTGGTAATTCTTGAAGTGATCTTATTAAAATGGACATTCTCCTTACGCCCATCTATAAGTGAAAATAATGGGGTTCAATTTCAATCTTTCCCTTTCATATCTGATAATGATTTGTAATTTAATAAATGCATAGTATTCATAATATCAACATAGTATCGCTAACAGTAGTCTGATCATCATTTTATTGTGAATTATTTTGTAATTTTGCAGTCTCCCGGTGTTGCAATAATTATATTAACATTATATAAAAGAATTGACGCATCATTCGTGGGAACGTTAAACGATTACACATCCATAATCGAGCATAAAGAAACGGTTAACCCGTAACTTACTGCGCTTAATAACGTGCATCTTTTCTCGCACGGCTTCCTTGCTCTTCATTTTCGGGGGAGAACGATCGCGGCAACCTTCTTGCGCATCAAGCTTCTCAAACATCGCACAAATATCCATGTTGGTGGTTCGCGAAAGCCGACAAACCGATATATCCTATTGACCACCGACTACTGTATTCTTCGTACGCCAACAACAATTTTAGGCGCGAAACGGAACCGGAAAAAGAAGAACACATGTTCGACATGCGCGTTACGACTTATCGATTTCGGCCAATAGTAAGCGAAGGTGCTCCTCGAACAGCGCATTCCATCCTCGATTTAAACTGTAAAGCCCCTTGCACAATAGGCGATGGCGATAGCGATAGCGATAGCGACAGCGACAAAGTTGCCGACAAAGCTATGTAGTTGGTCGGCAACTTTGTCGCTGTCGCTATCGCTATCGCTATCGCCTATTGTGCAAGATGCTTCACCGTCGAAACTTCTCGCCGTTCGACGAGTGTATTTCCTATTCTTATTTGTCAAACGTGTTACGGCATGTCTGAAGAAATCCTTTCTCGTAGAAGGGCCAATTTCACCAACCACAGTTAGCTTAACCGACGGTTAAGGTGCCAATTCATGGGACGCTGAAAAACAGCGTTGAGCGACGTCACGTGACATCACTATGATGCCAGCGTCAAGAAAGAGAAGTTGGATTTTTCCAACTTCAAGCGTCAAAGCCAAAGCAGCGCGAAGACGCCGAAATTTTGACGCTGTTTTCCTTTTCATGAATTTCAATTGACGCCGGCGTCAATTGTGGTCATGCGACCTTCTTGCCGCTGAAAATGAGCGTCGAGCGTCAGCATGAAAAGGCACCTTTAAAGTTAGCAGGATTGACTAATAGAAAGCAGAGTGGATTCATTTCTATTGGTCAATTCTGTTAACTTTAACCATCGGTTAAACTAACTGTGGTTGGTGAAATTGGCCCTAACAAAGGATTGTAAAACAGGAATTTCTACCATTTTTATCATATAAGATCTATAACATGAGATAAATATTAAATTGATACAAATATTACATAATTACAGCCTTGCAAAAACCTATTAAAAAACAATTAAAGCAATAACGGAATCACGAGGATGTCAAAAGGAATAATAAGTGCGCTTACATATTTGAATCGAGCAGTGCGCACGAGCCAATCAGCGTATCGGCACGTTGATTATGGCTCGCGATGTATTAAGAGTAGAGTCCTAATTAAGAGATATATAATATTAAGTAAATTGTTATTGTTCTAAAAAAAATAACTATTTATACAGCATATTTCAATTTGTCGTTTTTAGCGAATTAATGAAATAATTTACGCAAGATAGTTATTAAACGTTTAAACATAATATACATATGTGTATGTACATATATACATATACGTATAATCAATAAATATAGTAATAATTAAATAAATTGGTTATTTTAATCTTAAACTATAATTAAAAAATAGCAAGAATTTAATTATGCATCAGCGAAGACGTTAGAAGATAATAAAAATTAATAGAAGAATTAATTCGGATGATAAAGTAGGCGAAACTCAGGTTTCTCACCGCGAAATTCTCGGAAATTTACTCCTGATATATCAGGAAAGCATGCTGAGCGAGGAGGTTGTCCGGATTCCAATAGGTATTCCGCGGGTATTTTGAAATGCGAAATGCGCTGAACGACACTGGCTCATATCTCGAGAAATAAATTCATTTTAACATTGTTATGTAATGTATCCGTTAATGCAAATCATGCTCTCTCAAACGAGATTTGACAATAAAGAGGTTTTACATTTCAGTATGCGAAACTTTCTGCCGGATTTCGCGTTTGCATAAATTATTTAAAAGAACACAATTAATAATTAAAAAATAGCAAGATTTTAATTATGCATCAGTAGAGACGTTAGAAGACAATAAAGGTTAATAGAAGAATTAATTCGGATAATAAAGTAAGCGAAACTCAGATTTCGCACCGCAAAATCTCGAAAATTTACTCCTGATATATCAGGAAAGCATGTTGAGCGAGGAGGTTGTCCGGATTGCAGTAGGTATTCCGCGGGTGTTTTGAAATGCGAAATGCGCTGAACGACACTGGGTCATATCTCGAGAAATATATTTATTTTAACATTGTTATGTATGTTTTAATGCGATTCTTGTTCTCTCAGATGTAATTAGACGCTAAAGAGTTTCAAAATGTTGCTGCATAATGTTAGATAACAAGAAAAAGGTAGCCGCGAATGCCGACGGGCGGCGTTGGACGACAAAGTCGGAGCTCCGAAATGCCACACGCGACACCAAATAAATCTCAAGAAATACGTTTATTCTAACATTGTTATGTGTTCTTTAATGCGAATTAGGCTTTCTCGAATAAGATTAAACGATAAAGAGTCATAGAAAGCTGTTGCATAATGCTAGCCAATGAGAGAGAGGTAGCTGCGAATGCCGACGGACGGCGTTGGACGACAAAGTCGGAGCTCTGAAATACGATAACTAAAATGAATCGCGAGAAATACGTTTATTTTAATATTGTTATGTATTCTTTAATGCAAGGCATGCTCTCTCGAATGTGATTAGACGATAAATAATTATAAAATGCTGTTGCATAATGCTAGCCAAAGAGAAAAAGGTAGCCGCGAATGCCGACGGGCGGCGTTGGACGACAAATTCGGAGATCCAAAATACGATGCGTGAAACCAACTAAATCTTCACGGAGAAAATTTTATGGTAAATATTACTATGGTGTCGCATTAGCTGCGGACCATCGAGGAATTTTAAGTTAAATTACTATGTTTATGGTAAAAATTACGTTATTTTATCGTTTTTAAAACAATAATTATAGTATTTTAACTTAAAATTCCTTGATGGTCCGCAGCTAGTGCGACACCATAGTAATATTTACTATAAAATTTTCTCCGTGTTGAGAAATACGTTTATTCCAACATTGTTATGTGTCCTTTAATGCGAATTAGGCTCTCTCGAATAAGATTAAACGATAAAGAGTTATAGAAACCTGTTGCTGATTTAAAGAATGTAACCATGTATTGCGGATTACAAAATTCTTTATTCGTACACACGTAAATTTCTTGCGACCGTTACAATGTGTCTCTACTCAGATTCTGATTCTCTACGAGAACATGAGGTAGGACCGGAAACTAGTAACTAGTAACTAACGCTCATCGCGCCGTCGGTGTCGCTCTAACTAACTATTACCGAGAAATATTTAATTCGGAACGCTTGAATATTAACTCCCGTAACAAAACCTGTTGCATAATGCTATAACGAGAGAGAGATAAATGCGAATGTCGGAAAGGTAGAAAACTCCGAAATACAATAAACTCTTTATCGTGTAATTTTATTCAAGAGAGCATAATTTGCGTTATAGAACACATAAGAATGTTAGAATAAAGATATATCTCTTGAGATTTAACCGGTGTCATTCGTCGCATTTCAGAGCTTCTATTAATATAATGATTTTTGACTTTCATAAAACGCTTATATCTCGGCAACCGTAAATGATAGAAAGATGATTAAAGAAAGACTTAATTTGTACTTTATACTTTGCCCTATTGGTATTACTCACGTGTATTACTCGCACGTATGTACTTTCGTTTATTAAAGCAATAAAGCGCGAGCTGGCCAAAAAAAAATCGTGCGCCTCGCCATTCATCATTTTCATTAAACGTTTATATCTCGGCAACCGCAAACGATAGAAAGATGATTCAAAAAGCACTTTTTAGATCGTGCTCTATTCTATCAGAACTGCTACACTTTTATTATCGGCAATTATTTATTTTGTAACTAGCGCTAATGCATGGATGTATGACATCTATGTGGTTGCAATATCATCAATAATACATCTCACATTAAGGAGGAAGCTGTGACAGCGTAAACGACGCTGCTTTGGAAGCAGGCCATTCGCTACTTAAAATAAACCTTTAAAAATCAGCAAAAACATCAAAATATCGCGCCGCGCGCCGGCATTCCCGGATTCGGCGATCAAGGTCAAGGCCAATTTAGAAAGTGGATCGATAATGTACAGCTGTTCGTGACAACCGCCCCCTCCCCCCGCCGCTCAAGTAGGGGGTCAAGGCCATATGTGTTGCTGGCTTGGCGCGAGAAAAAGAAGTTCTCCCTATCGTTTATCGCAAATATCTGAGCAACCACCGAAGATATAGAGATGATTCAAAAAGGACTGTTTAGTTTATACTCTGCGCTATTGGAATATCTCGATTTTATTACTAACACGTACATCCTTCCGTTTATTTAACATGATAAAGCGCGCGCGTGCCGTAAAGATCGGACGCCAAATTATTTCTGACTTTATTAAAACGCTTATATCTCAGCAACCGTAAATGATAGAAAGATGATTAAAGAAAGACTTTGTACTTTATTATACTTTGCCCTCTTGGTATTACTCACGTATAATATTACTCGCACGTATGTACTTTAGTTTATTAAAGCAATAAAGCGCGAGCTAGCCAAATAAGAATCGCGCGCCTCGCCGCATTCATCATTTTCATTAAACGTTTATATCTTCAACGCGAATTATGTTCAGTATTCTATAACTCTTTATCGTTGAATCTTGTTCGAGACACCTTAATTTGCATTAAAGAACACATAACAACGTTAAAATAAATGTATTTCTAGAAATATGTCCTGCAGTCGTTCGTCGCATTTCAGAACTTATACGTTCCGCCGAGCAAAGGCATACGCAGCTTCTATTTTTTCTCATTAACTAATATGTAACAACATTTTATAATTATTTATCGTCTAATCACATTCGAGAGAGCATGCCTCGCATTAAAAGACACATAACAATGTTAAAATGAACGTATTTCTCAAGATTTAGTTATGGTCTCACGTATCGTACGTATTTCGGATCTCAGATTTTGTCGTCCAACGCCGCCCGTCGGCATTCGCGGCTACCTTTTTCTCTTTGGCTAGCATTATGTAACAGCATTTTATAATTATTTATCGTCTAATCACATTCGAGAGAGCATGCCTCGCATTAAAGAATACATAACAATATTAAAACAAACGTATTTCTCGCGATTCATTTACAATTAGTTATCGTATTTCGAAGCTCCGACTTTGTCGTCCAACGCCGCCCGTCGGCATTCGCGGCTATACCTTTTTCTCGTTTTCTAACATTATGCAGCAGCATTTAAAAACTCTTAAGTGTCTAATATTGTTCGAGAGACCATGCCTCGCATTAAAGAATACGTTTTACAATGTTAAAATAAACGTATTTCTCGAGATATATCCGTGTCGTTTGGTCGTTTGTCGCATTTTAGAGCATTTACCTTTCCGCGGCGACAAGCACGAGAACTGGAGACATTTGCAGTTTATTCATATATACATATACATTTAAAAAGAAGTAATTAATATAATTACATTACTAATTTAATTTAATAAACGCATATTAATATTAAATTATTAATAAGTAATAACAAAGAACGTATTATACATTCGTTAAGACGCTTGAAAGATCATAAAAATTATGAAAAGAATTTTAGGTTATGAGGAAAGCGAGAATCTCGCTCTCGAGGAATCGCTCTTGTTACGCGGGAAGCATGTTGAGCAAAGAGGTTGCAGGAGATATTCGAGCGGCGGCACGCCTAGCCCCGACTATTACCCATCGCCATTGGAACGGCGCGGCGCGCCTGGCACGCGACGAGGATCCTCAGCCTACGGCCAATCAGAGCGCTGGCAGGTATGCATAGGAGGGGCAGTAGGCTCCCGCGCTCTGACCAATAACAGCGTGATTACGAGGAAGCAATGTGGGGTGTGGGGAGGCAACACCCGCGCGGCGCGGCGCGCTCGGAATACCTACTGCCACCTCCTGCTCATCATGCTTTGCTGATATATCAGGAGTAAATTTCCGTGATTTCGCGGTGCGAAATCTGAGTTTCGCCTACTTTATCATCCGAATTAATTCTTCTATTAATTTTTATTATCTTCTAACGTCTTCGCTGATGCATAATTAAATTCTTGCTATTTTTTAATTATAGTTAAAGATTAAAATAACCAATTTATTTAATTATTACTATATTTATTAATTATACGTATATGTATATGTACACACACATATGTATATTATGTTTAAACGTTTAATAACTACTTGCGTAAATTATTTCACTAATTCGCTAAAAACGACAAATTGAAATATGCTGTATAAATAGTTTTTTTTTAGAATAATAGCAAATTACTTAATATATCTTAAATTAGTTTGCAAAACTACAGATTTGTTTGATAAATTAATAATTAGTGTTTATTACCACGAGCCGCGAGCCGTTCAGATGGCGATGGGTAATAAGTGGGGTAGGCGTGCCGCTGCTCGAATATTTACTGCAACCTCCTCGCTCAACCTTTTTCCCGCGTAATAGGAGCAATTTTTGGGGAATTGCGCATGACTGTAATCTTGAAATTTACTTTCTTCATAATCTAAATTTTAAAATTATTCTTTTCATAATTTTTATGCTCTTTCAAGTGTCTTAACGAATGCATAATATATTTCTCGCTATTACTTAATAATAATTTAATATTAATATGTATTGTCTATTAAATTAGTAATGTATTTATTAATTACTTTTTCTTTTATATACATATATGCATGAATAACTCAAACTGCAAATGCAGTGTGCTCGTGCTCGGTTGAAAGGTATTATAAGTTCTGAAATGCGACAAACAACATTGGATATATCTCGAGAAATACGTTTATTATTTTATCAATGCTATGTGTCCTTTAATGCGAAGCATACATTCTCAGATGTAATTAGACGCTAAATGGTTTTAAAATGCTGTTGTATAATGTTAGACAACGATATAAAAGGTAACTGGCTAATGTCGACGCGGCGTTTGACGACAAGTTCGGAGCTCCGAAATACGATACGTGACACCGACTGAATCTCAAGAAATACTGCATTCATGTTAACATTGCTATGTGTCCTTTAATACAAGGAATGCTCTCTCAAACAATATTAAACGATAAAGAGTTTTAGAATGCTGCTGCATAATGCTAGACAATGGGAAAAAGATAGCGACGAATGCCGTCGTCGCTCGGTGAGAAAGTCCGTAAGTTCTGAAATGCAACGAACGACTAAACGAATCTCGACAAATACATTCGTTTCAATATTGTTATGTGTCCTTTAATGCGAGGCATGCTTTTTCGAATGTAATTAGACGATAAAAGGGTTTAGAATGTTGTTGCATAATGCTAGCCAGCAAGAAAAAAAGAACTGTGAATAGCGTCGCGCGACGCTCCGCGACGGGAAAATAGAAACTCCGAAATGCCACGAATGATTCTGAACGAATCGCAAGAAATATGTTCACATTGTGGGTGCTTTAGTGCAAGGTATGCTCTCTCGAGAATTTAAGAGCAAAATACGCAGAAGGAAATATGTGAAAGGGAGAAGTTAGATAGAAAGGACCCTTGATTTATGAACATTTTTGAATGCCTATATAATTTGTTCTTTTCCAGAAACTAATCAAAGAAAGTTGGTGAAATTTGAGACTTTTTATCAGGAACGCAAGAACTACAACATATCACAAATTCAACCTATTTCATATATAATTCTTTTAAATTCGGTTGATTAGACTTAGCTTTATATGTGATCAAAGGTCCATGTACAAAGTTTATGAAAACAAAGCTTCCTCTATGAGGAAGCAAAACGTAATGTCGAGATTCGAAAGCGAGAGACACGAGTATTCGAGGGTCCAGAGATCAATAATGCATAGTTATAGTTTAACAAACAGCGTTTTAATCTCGTGGATATATTTACACAAAAAATTATCTCATTGCATTCGTAGAAAGGCCAGATAATCACGTCGTGAAGAGATTCGATCGAAGAGAAAAATAACGCTTAATGCCGACCGCGCGAATCGAAGGTTCGCCGGAGCTATCGTACATTTAACTATCTTGTGCGCGTATCACGATCCGTTAAACATTATTACATTTTATGTTCTTACATATACACGCACTCTTTGGCCTTTACTCGCACACGTGCATACAGTACTGTCGGACGCTCGTGCACTCTACTTTAATAGCGTCATATACACTAACTTCTGTATGTATGCAGTACAAAAGTTTTTAACAGCATGGCAAATCGAACATAATCAAAACATGTGAAAAGATGTATACTCGATTAATATCGATATAATGTTGCTTCGAAATTAAATTGCTGATACAATACAACGTGCAGTAAAAAAAAAACAATTGATTCGAAATTTATGCGTGATTTAAAAAATCAACAACCCTCCCTTATTTTTTCATATCCATAAATCGCGCCGTGTGTAAGCTAAAAAAATATGCGTATACATTATCTTTTTAAATTTATAGACGAATGCTCGCTAGTCCGACGTACAACTACTCGTTCATCAATCTTTACACGCTAGAATTTTATGGTATTTACAAATTTATCGTAATAACACGCTCTATATAGAAGTATCGCGGAAACTCGAGGTCCGAAAGGAAAATGCCGAACTGATGACAAATCCGAATACGACGCATACATATACATGTTAAGCGATTACGATTATGGTCTATTTTTCTTAATTGTACACTTCATGTGTGCACAATTTTTCTTAATTGTAACTGTTAATAAATTAATCGCCTTACCTAACGCAGCCTAGAGACGATTTACAGATTTACACCTTTGGTAAAAGACAACAAAAAGCGTGTGATAATACGGCAGTTACGGATGTGCTTAACAAACCCGAACTGCGCGAATTAAAATTAGCGAATATGAATGAATCAGTACTCATTAATGAAGAAATGATTAATTTAAAATCAGCTTATACATCTCACGGTGATTATCAGACTGACAAAGTTAACAAAAATTCAGTAGGAATACAGACTATATGTAAAAAAAAAACATTATAAAAAAATTACTTCGCGAGAGCTTTTCAATGTTTTCAAATATGACTAGCGCACGTAAACGTAAAGGCTGCATTCCAATATTCACTGTCAGTACTGAAAATCTATATTTTTCTATATTTTACGTCACATATAGTCGTATACTATAGATTTTCAGTATTGCCAGTAAATATCGGAACGTAGCCTTAATAAGATCAAAGCTCATATAATAGTAATTAATGACTTGAACGTACATTTATTCATGTTAAGTACAAGCTCGAAAGAAGCTCTATACGTTGAAATCAGCGCATTAATTCGGAAATTTGTCCATTTCCTACGACGCGTCGGGCGTCTCTAAAAATTTGTCTAAAAATACAGACGAACAAAATCAACTTACAAAGTCGCCACAATTGTGTAAACATTATACAACGCACTATGTACAAATACATCTCTCAAACTCCTAACAATCACTCTAGTGCCGTTGAGAAGCTGCTATTCATTCTGCATAGCCGCACAAAAATATCATTTCCACGTTTCTCAATCTGACATGTCGCTATTTATACATATATGTCACACTTGCTATGGCGCGTCAAAAGAAGTTTCATCTAAATAAATAAATGAAATTTAAATAAAAATGGGCGAGTAATCTTCGCGATACATCCTACAAAATACTATTTCAATACGATCCCTGGCACTTGGTATTCATTGCTGCTAACACAAGTGCGAGATCTATCAATTTACGCGCTATTCTCCTATTCCTTTCTCCTTATTACTAAAATGTCCCGGCTTACGTTACAGTACGGACAAGATATCGCTTGGTCTCACTTTGTACTTTAATAAGTAGTAGACAATATACACTTTTACATTGGTGTTCCTTTTTATGAGTTGAGTCTAGAAATTATTCGTCCTGGGGCTTCGAACGCCTTGAGAACGACAGGCGTCACTGGTCCAAGTCATCTTTGCATTGTTGAGATCTATATGCAACGGCATATGAGAAGGAGCGAGCGGTTTTTGCGTAGAAAGTTATATCTAGCGCAACCGCATTTCTTGGGCCTTAGAGGACCAACAGAGATTCTTTCGTAAGTAGAATAATAAAATTGTTTGCGGTGTTTTACAACTGATCGCTTAAAAATAAATCGTAGACGATATATCCGATATATTCTCTTGCAGTAGAAGCGCCTTATAGTTAAAATTTCTATATAATGAAAAAATTGCGAACGATCCTTAATAAATTTTTATCTATCTATTCTACTTCTCGCGGTTGATTCTCTATGGACCATTGAGATTCTTCACTGTATATGTATCGTATTGCGACCATAATAGAATCAGTCAATAAATTATACGTGCAATTATGAAGAAAATATCGAACATATGTAATACTCGTTGTTGATGAAAAAAACTGATATATACCATATACCGTAAGTCATTTTCTATGTTTATGAACGCTGAATCACGACGAAATGCACTAAATGTTCTAATTCGCTAAAATCCAATTTTACGGTATATAGCGAGGAAATTCATGTTTACAACGCAAGTTTTCCAAGTTCGTTGTAAAAGCGTTAGCAACATATATGCTATATATAATATTCATGCATTTGAATCTCGTAATGAAACTGTCGTAATAAAATTGTCACATTGAGACAGCAACGTTTGTACGATTAATTAATAAAATGATCACAAGTTTAAAAAGAACGTCAATATCGCAATATCGCTAATAGAAATAAAATAACGTTCTTCAAAAACATAGCTTTCATCGACTTCCACTTCTGTAGGCTCATTATCATGATGTGGACGGCATTGTACTAAACTGACTGAACATGTTACAGCAATAACACGGAATAAACGTGTGCGAGGTTCTGTAAAATAAAATATTAGCCGGTAAATTTCTTTCATAATGTGATTGAATTAATACCAAATTAAAAAATAATAGTGCCTTCTAATGGAATACGTAGTGTCTCACCTATATTTACAAAGCGATTATTTAGAGTTCACACATCTCATTTGCCGTTGCAACTTTCGATTATTTTGTTTCTTACGCACACTTTTATCGCATTGCCTGCCAGTATCACAAATTAATTGCTAAGGTTGTGAACCGCCGCCACCATCACCACCACCCATATTCTCAGTTTGATTCCCATCAACCGAGTTGCTTCGCTTGCTATCCGTACCATGACTGAAACATTCAATTTGTCCGATATGCATTGCGTTTTTGCATACGTACGACACGGTACGCAAAATGACATTTAAACGGCAAACGCTCTGCGAGTAAAATGAGACTCACTTTACATGAACGGAAGAAGCGTCGATCTCTGTTGATACACGAGATTGTTCTTGGACAATTCCAGCAGGTGGTCTTGTTTTCGACGCAAAATCCGATTGACAGCTGCCGGCGCGTTTACTCTTCCCGATAACTGTTTCTTTACTATTCGATTCTTGCATCATCAAACACATTTCCACCATTGCCCTCAGACAATTCACAAACAATTCAGCACTCTCGGGCGTACAGTTTGACACCATTTGTGTTGACTGTAAACATTTTGTCAATTGCGTTACGGACAGAAAGACTCCTAGCTCTTTAAATCCAGTCCATATCAAAATCAAATCACTAAAGAAATAATTAAATGCTAGAATCCAAAACTTACGTCTGAGTCTGGGTAAGGCCCTGCGAACCTCCAAAGACCGCGGAATCCGCAGCTTTGCAAATAGTGTTGCAAATGATGTTGCTGGTTCGTATCTTCGCAGGCTATCATGTTCTGTATAATAGTTTGAACGGCATTCAGTATCGCTTGGTCATGACAAGAAGACAATACGCTATTGATCTTTGCGTCGAGTAAGTTATGTCTGCAAGAATATTCGGCAAGTTGCAAAAATTTGAAGATAGATTAGTCTCAGATATTCTCGTTTGAAAAAACTTACACGACTGGAAAAACTTTAGGGAAAACTACTGTTGCTTCTGCCAGGTATTCATAAAGAATCCGCGTTTCGTTTTCATTGGTGGAATACTTGACTAGCGTGGCCAGCATGGTCAGCACCAAAGTCTGCGTTGAAAAATCCGTTAATACTTCCGGATCGAGTAAGACGTTATTTTCGTTGCTTAGGCTCACTCTGGTGCTACGATCTCTCTGTGTAAAAATACAAACACATTAGTTTCCTCGACTCACGATAAGATTAAGAAATTAAATATTACAGTCGCGGACGTAGACGTTCTCAATTCATATTTCCTAGATGAATAGTCAAAGAAAACCGCGTTTCAATTCGAAAAGAGAGGAAAAAAAATACAAGAATTATACCACAATTATTGTTGAAATGACAAGTACCTGTTGCTCCGCGTTGTCCGCTGACTTGTCGTCCTTTGCGCTCGGCACGCTCAAGGATCGCTGCGATTTAAATAAAAGCCGGCCAGTCTTGTTAGTGACAAGTTGCATGATGTTTTATATAATCCAGACAGGCACAGGCAGGCGCGGGCACACACCGAGAGAGTAAACAGAGATGCACAAAGGAATAAAATGATGTTATATGCTATGCGCAACAGGTCTACTGGTATCAACTGGGAATCGGATTGAAAAGTATGGCAAACGATAGACAAAACCATCACGCGAAATCAATTTTCGTTCAACGTGCTTAAAAGCTGAGGCTTTGAGAACTTGAGATTCTTTTTCATGAGTGTCAATAAATTCAGCAATAAAATGTAACTGAAAAGCTTCATACCAAGAATATAGTAAATAAAATTAGATAGATACATATACCCAAAAGATATGGAATATAATTCCAAATAGATACATGGATAATAGATACGTTTTACTATATTTTTGTAGATAAAACACACACACACACACACACACACACACAAGTTCTCAGATAACAGGCGGATTTGATAAACAGATATTCCTTGGCAAAAGTAAAAGACTTGATCAAACAATTCGTAGAGACAATAAGATGAGCAAAGCGATAGTAATAGAAGCAATATACATAATTTATCGCGCAAATTACATATGAATATTTTATTTTATGAGAAAGAAGTTCATATTTTGTTCGAGTAAGCTCTGGATAATTTTATTTCGTGCGAGCACTTCTCTTGATACTTTTGGGATCATGCAGTGCATTGTTCCAAAGTAACTTCATGCACTCTGTATGCTCGAGAATGATTTCTTTTTAACTTGCTAAATAAGTAATTGTGTGTGCGAGAATGGTGCTACATTTCGATATTCTCTACATAAGTAATAATTTTAAAAGGTAAGATTTTTAGGGGCGCAAAAGTTGGTGTTCCTACAATATTTCAAACGCACAAGTTAACTACGCCGTTATAATTATTGCTATAGCTCGTAAAGGAGAAATTTTTGAACAACGCGCGCGCTCGTAATTATATAATTTATACCTGCGCAGATTGTTTTTGTTGTTTCGCTTGAGTAAGCGCCGATTGATCCAGTAAATCCCAGGTCTTCTGTCTTCTACTCGTAGGATTAGAAGCTCCAGGCATATCCTGGCGACGTGTACACGATAATCTCATTAATGTCATATGTATTATGTTTTATGTAATCTATGTATAATACTATAATAACAAATAGAAAAAAAGATAGTCACCGTATTGCGCGATGGCAGAGTATCGAGAACGTCCGAACTGCCTGATGAATCGTGCAAGCTTTTGTCGAGCGAGTGTCGGATGTGACATCTGCTACGAACCTCTTCTGACACAGCCACTAACGCTGCAAAGAATGAAATTCAGAATAGATTTTTTTTTAATCTTAATATTATTTCAAACTAACGTGAACGTTACCGGTCAAGTAAGGGATACTTTCAGGCGTTACTTCAAATTTATCCCTTTTGGAAGGTTTAGCTACGATTGCCAGTAACATAGTCAATACTCTGACCGTCCTGGTGACTGTAGTCGGCGTACGATGCCTGTAGCCTTTCAGAAGATGACCGACCAGCGCGAAATGAAAGTTAGACTTAAAGGACAAACCCACAGCATGATCTAATTGTTTAAACTGATATTCCAAAGGTTCACGCGTTGTCATCATTACGTATTCTAATGTCTGGAAAGAATAGTGGTAATGATTTAGTCTCTATTAATCTTCATATTAAGAGATATTTAAAGATTAATCAAGATTCTCTCGAGAAGAAGACTCTTGAAGAGTGCAGACCTTTTCGTCGAAAGTGCCTTGTGAGTCAAGTGTGTGCAAGTTCTGCTCGAGAAGGGCTAGGCCGGATGCGTATAACGATGCTTCATCTAATTCGAGAACGGACGTGGCAATCCAGAATAAATGCCTGTGTATTGGCGATTCCTTAACAGAAAACGGTAAAACGGATTTAGTACTGAATATTGAAGTTGAACGATTTCTAAAGCTCTAAACGGAAACTTACGGGTCTCAGAAGAGGTTGCAATCGGGTTAAGCACATAACAATAGCCTCTATAAGATTAATATCGTTGAAACTTTCGAGCGCCTTCATCAGTATCTTCAGTAGTTGCCTCATGTCTTGATCCGTTATACTTTTGCTGATACAACCGAAGACGATGAGAGCTCTTGGCTGCAAAGCCGGATTTAAGCAGAAGGCAAAGTTCTTCGCTAACAATGTCCACGTTTTTAACCAATCGCACTTAGGAATGTCTCGCATGCAAGCCTCCATGATCTCCAGAAGAGCGTCAGTTATGACTTCCAAACTGGTTAAATAAAGTCTCTCCTTGTCCTGTGTCCCGTGCGCGCTTCTCTCGCTACTGAGCCACTTTTCACCCCCATTCGCGTGTTTACAGCTGGATTTTGAATGTTCGTAGAAAGCCGTGCCAGCGGCGGATTTCACCTTGCTGATGCCAAACAGTAGGTAAAACTTGGGCAATGAGAATTCGTCTAGGCTCATCCGTAGTATTCTATGTGTATCTTCGGAGAACGAAGGCGAACTGCATGTGCACAACGAGTGAATACTGTTGATCACCAAACCATGAGTGGAAGCTCGCATGGTCAAACTGCCGGAGCATACGAGCAACGTCACCGTGTGAAAAATGTACGGCAAGTGTTTTCCTACATCCAGACAGTTATTAAAGGACAACATCAGGAGATATCTCGCCAGGATTGCTATATCACTCCACCTTACATGCTGCTCCAGCTGCGACGTCGGCGACATGCATGTCTTGTCCACTATTCGACATACCTTATTTATTAGTTTCTTGGCGACCAATTGCACGTTACCGGACGCCAGAGCGACTGCAGTATCCGCCATGATCTCGGCGGATCTCGCCGTTTCCGGCGAGCCTAAGCCATATCGCGCGCTGCGTTGAAGAAAAATATCGAGAACAACGTCAATCAGTTCCGGCAACATACCAATCGTACTCCAGATCTTCGCCTGTATACTCGGATACATTGCAGTCTCCTGGACAGTCAACGTAATCAAATCGTCCAGGATATCTATAACTTGCTTCTGCCGCTTACCGCCTTCATCGCGCGGTTTGTAAAATCGCACGAGATTGCTGAGCCACGGTGTCATATATTCAAGGCATAAATGCTTCAGCTCGATAGTCGACGCCCTGAAGCCTTGTAAGCATTCCTTAAGAAATTCGAGCGTGAGATGCGGATCGTTCGCCGCCAAGGTCTCACTCAAATGCTTTATGAATATGGTGTTATTCGATGGTATGCAAATACCAGATGTTTCCAACAGTTGACCCTCTATTTTCAAGCCAAATGTCGCTGTGAGCGCGCACAGGTGGTTATACGCGGCAGTCCGAAGATTGGGGTCCGGACTACCGAGATTCAGTAAGGCCATGTTCAAAAGGGTACCGGGCACATCCTTAGGCCTGATTTTCGAGTGAACGGACACAGAGTCCGGCTGCGACAGCACCCAACGATTCCTGATGTGAATTATATTCTGCACAATGCTGTCGCAATCGTTGTGGGCAAAAGTCAGAGGTACCGATTCGATGGAAATGGTCAGCACAAATGAATTGTCGTCCAACAGACAAACATCTTCTATTTCGGACGCATAATAGATGTCATTTAAGAGAACCCAATGCGATAACACTTTAGCTCTATCAGTATGCATTACTTGGAACGTCGTTGGTCCGATCTTCACAGATACTCTCAGCTCTTTGTGAGCTAGTTTCAAGGCGCCGGTGAACACTTTCAAGTCTTCGTCCAGGGATAATGTCGCTCCGGGTAATTTCAGTTGCTCGACATCGATCACGTCACTTAATTTCCCTTGGCCGTCGATGAAGACAATCTTTCGATTACCTTTCAACGGCGCCACGATACTATCATAATACTTTGTGAATTCGCGTACCCACGAATTACAATTGTAAATGTAAACTGCGTGGAGATTTTCATAGGTTGCCACAGGTAGAACGCAAAACCACTTTTGCAAAAATTCTACCCTAAACCGATTATCTACACACGTGTGAGTGAAATCGACGACTACGTCGTACGGAGAGTGATGGAAGGGTTTTAATGTTAGAATAACGTGATATATCAGCAGATCGCCGTTCGTTTCGCCAAGTCTGAAAATAAAAGTTTAAATAGTATACTCTTCGCTATATGTATATGTATATTCACCGCTATCTTATATAAACGATTTGCGCATACTTGAATCGTCGTGCAATGTAGTAAAATACTGGATAGCCTTGCTTGCTGGTGCCCGCTTGATAAAAGATATTCATACTCTGGATGCTTTTAAATTCCTCTGTCTCATGCATATTATGCTTCATCATGATCTCTTCAAAATTAGTCGACGACATGTCTTTGCTCGCCCATCGTGACATAGGCATGTAAGTAGTCGAAAAGAGCGAGCTGAAATTCAAACATAGAATCAATTCGTGATTCATATTAGCGATGATAACGTAGTCAAAGCAAACAGGTCGAAAACTCACTGAGAATCCACCGGCTTGTGCTCAGGTGGACCAAGATACGCTAATAACGTAGCCATCTTGTCAAATGGTCTCCTTCCGACAGCTTTGTGGTCTCTACTACTACTAAGATAGTCTCCAATTTTTTCCTGATGATTCCACAACAACCTGTGCAATGCTAAGACATTGGCATCCGAAACAAATGACATAGGATGGCTGGTTTGATCGACCGTTTCGCAATCCGATGCTATCTGTATGATGAATCGTCGACCGATCTCGAAATTCGTTCTCAAAAAATCGTTGAAAGGCAACATATGTTGCTCCTTGCTGAACTCTACGTGATTTGCAATATTCTGCAATATCTTTGACATAAGCATGAGGCCTCGCTTGACTTCATACGGTACCGGTTTGTTCACGATACCCATCTCTTGGGGTGAGACAATGGCAGGATTAATGAAACGTAGAAATATCACCGTTCCTACGGCCACAATGTTGCTCTGCGGAGATTGCGGAAATCTCTTGCATAATACTTGATACAGGCAGTGACACATCGAGCGCAGCTGCGGAGGAAACCTGAAAAGATATTTCGGACTTGAGCGGATATGACTTATGTGATTTTATTTTATTTAACAAGTTATAATAAATGATGACTTACGTATCTGATGATGATACGATAGCATTGAACACTTTTTGTGTCAATGTGATTAAGTTGTCACCGTTTTGTTCAATACTTTCGTTAGGATCAATCCTTGCGCTGTCTACTTCAAAACTAATTGTTGGCTCGTCCAGTAAAGGTTTGATCAGAGGTTCAAGCAAGCCTTGCAAATAGCTGGTACCATAAATTTTAAAGCAGAATGACATTATCTTACTTCCCAGAGTATTACCGCGAAAGAGAGTCTGTATGCAATCAGTTAGCTCGACCTCTCGATAAAGCATATTCCACAATAGAGGTGACAATAAATGCTTTGCGTCAAACAGTGTCACGAAGACACGCGCCAACTCATCCATTTGATTTGTCGTCACTACATTGGCCAATGCCATGGCGATAGGCAATTCACCTTTATCACTGATCATTGTAACGAGTTGCACTAATTGCTCGTATCTGTCTGCTAGGACAGTCTCAGCAAGGGTATCGAACTCCGTTCCCTGCTGAAGGATTTTAGTCAACACTTCCATAAATGCGACTCGCGTCTGAAGATCCGCGTTATAGCCTAAATCTAAGTAAGAAAAAAGTTAAAGATTTAGTGATAGAGCCATTAGTTACTGATAGTTATGGATAATTGAAGACGTCTCTGGAAGAAATAAAATGGCAAATAAAAATAAAAGCAAGAAATATGTCTTTGGGACTTAATCCGTTCCTCCAGAAAACTCTTGAATTAAAAGCATATAACGTGATTTTTTGCGTACGTATTGAATGTCTCAAGCCGCTGTCTATATTTGCACTGAGAAGATTACTCGTAGCTTGAATGGTAGTGTTGCGCAAAGTGGCTAGCTTGTTAGTCGTTAAAGTAGGCGATTGCTGAGACTCAAGATCCTTGTCCTCCGATGATGATGATGATGGGTCGTTGCAGTAATTTATTAAATTCATAAAGAGTATGAAATATTTCGAAAATAGTTCAGACTTTGCTTCCATCAACTCAACACGATCAGAATCTTCAGGCTGAAGAGGAAGTCCGCGCAATAATGCTCCTACTGCCTCCATGCAAGCTTGATCCAAATCTCTAGAGAAAGTTAAAGACATATTCGATAATTATACCTATTTATTTTTAGTTTTTAACATATAAGTTGGACATATTTATATATAAAGTGAGAGAAAATATTTTACCTTGTGTAAGCTGTAATATCGTTGGCAGTTGTTGAAAAAAAAGGATGCCTGCACATTACCCACTCGGTCAAATATTCAACTAGTTTGTTGCGAAATTTCAACTCCTGTCTAAATGCCAGATCGTCTCGTCTCTTCATCATAGCTTCAACCAGCTGGCATAATTTGGTTTTGATGCAAATCGAATGTACCGTCATGTCTAAATGCCTGACATACCTAACGATTGCCAACATCATGCCTTCAATACTGGTCACTCCGAGGTATTCCGATGGTTGATCCGTTTTTGAGTCCAGAATATTTTTCATTATAAATATGGTGTGTTCAATGAACTGCGTGTTTAAATCCGATACCACTACGTGTCCACGTGGGTCGAAGGATTTCTCGACGAAATTTTTTATCTGATCGAACAATATTGGATATACGGCAGGACTCATCTCATGTGCGACTAACTCCTTCACGTGCTTCTGTATTTGATTGCCAAGTTTCTCGTTGTTGCAAATTAATAATCGTAATAAGTTGAATACGAATTGTGTCACTGGGCAATATTGCGCTTCTTGATTCGAATTTGTTAAGCCCAAGACGGAATCCTGCTGTTTCGTCAAACCCCTTTTATGCTCGGGATTAAAAGGGAATACGTCATACGGTGGTCTACTAGGTGAACGACGTTGCAAGCATACTCCGCCCAAAGCGCAAAGAAACCCTGTCATGTTGGCCCACTCGTTAATTTGCTCTTCCACTTCGTGCTCCGAATTCTGGTGTGCTGCTCTCCGTTTTACGTTTCCGCGACAAAACGGCTCTACCTGCACATCCTCAGTCTTGCTTTTAGGATAACTAGCCAATTGCCGCGAAGTCGCTTCCCAATTTCTAAATGTTTCCTCCCAAGCCTAAAAATACGAATGTAAACGTCTGTCAGTTTTTAAAAAGACTATGATGATGTTCATGTTCGATTGATATTGATTAAATATTAACTAATATTTTATCGTGTTTTATGCATGGTGATAGAGTTCATATTACATATAAATACATATACAAAAAATAAATGTTAATATACGTACTGGTTGTATACCATTCACACAATGTTCAATCTTTCTCAACAAGAATAATATTCTTTTTTGTAACGTAGCACGCCCTGAAATATAAAAGACACTTCAAACTGCTGCTATCAATAGTTTCGTCATTAAAGAAGATAATGAATAAACGTGGATCACTCACCGTGATTATACTCCTGATAACATAGTCTACTCTCCCCGTGGGCTATTACGATAACAAGATCTTTAATACTCTACTACAGACGAATAAGAATTTTATTACGTGAAATAGAGAAATAACGTCAAAGATTCACAAGTGAGTCTTTGAATCCAGAAGAACATATCTCTCCATCTGTGCTCTGAGTGTTCTCATGAAATCTCGTTAGAAAAATAAAACTTACCAGAGATCAACACGGTCGAAGCTTGCGCCACGTCTAAATACACGTGATAATTCGGAAGCAAACAGGTCACCGCTACCTCGTCGCTGCCACAGAGAATTTCCGCTTCTTCGCATAATAGTGCAAAACAAGACATGGATACTAAAACAGCCTCCATGTCTATACTCCATAAATACATCAAGCACACGACCTGAACACGTTAACGTCCTCGAATTACGTGTAACCAGCCATAATTTTGTAATGGTTAAAAGTTTGTACCTCAAGTTTAATATGCGCTTGTTTACTGATTGCAATATGGCTGTCCACATTTCCATAATCTTTGTACTGAGAAAGAAAAGCATTCCTACAACTCAGTATCTCACGAAGCCATTTAAGTATAGTCGTGTAGTTGAAAATTTGATGTTGAATCAATTTCTGGGAGATTGAGAAAACGACTTGCGAACTGGCATCCCAGAAAGTGTCGAGCGGCGCTTCTGGATTCCATGCTTTGACCTTGTCTGGGTGGTGTAGCACTAACAAAGCCTCCATCGCTTCGTGGGCGATGTCCGGCATCGTGGGCTGATGGACTAATGAGACAAGTCCATTAATCAACTCTAAAGTGGACCTTTGTATTTCATGGCCAGCTGTGCCGTAACTCTGCAACGTGTCAACGTAATATGGAGGCTTTAGACATCTTATCCATATTTAGTCTATATATATATATTCTATATCTCGATTATATGTATTTTTTTTTAAATTAAGTTAAGTTACACATGAGTAGCAAATGCTTTATTTATACTTTTCATATTTTACCGTTAACACTTATATTCATACGTGATCCATATTTATTTATAAAAAACATACGTGCAACATTAACATAGGGTCCACGTGAATGAGTCGCACCATCACCAACAATAGGTTCTTAGAATTAGCTATCTCCTCTTTAGGCTTGAGGGCAAAGTTGTGAATCATGCGCAGCGGCGTATTCCACATGCAGTTCTGTGTCACTTTGTTCAGAGTATCGGTAAACATATTCCTGAGTTTTGTGCCGTACGAATATACAAGACTACGCTCTGGCCACCACGGTAATCTCGGTTGCGTGAAGATTCTGAAATATGGAGCATCGAAACCGGTCAGACTTGCCAACAACTTGCGAGCGTCTTATGCGCGTGCTGCAAGAAGAAAATATTTTTGACACTTGCTTGTATAATGAGCTGACCAAGACGAACTGGTACGTTGACGGGTACGTGACATTCAGGCAAAACTTAAAAACTTCGTTGTTATGCGGATTGATACGGAAAGAGCTAACGAAGAAGTCGATCATCAGATCGACGTCCTGCGCGCTGTACGTCTGCCCGCGTGAAAATGGCTTCGAGGGATTGAAAAGAAGGCTCATCAGATCATCCATCAGCTGCTTTGCTAGAGTTAGGACGACGTTGCTAGATTCGGCGTTGTTGACATACGTGGCCGCCTTAATGAGATTGACGCACGTGATCGCCGCGGCCTCGGACAGTTGGCGACTAGAGGAGCTGCCGTGCATTCGCAGACTACGCTTTACGCTATCGATGAACTGCTTCTTTCTCGAATATCGTGGCGACGCGGGTGGCCTAGTGTCGGTGTTGACGATCTCCAGGACCTTGGGCGAGAGTACCAGCAGCATTATCTGCAACGGCCAAACAGAGGCCGCGCGGCTCTTCTTCTCAACGACAAACGTGTCGAGAATGTCGAACAACTCTTCGCAGGCCTTACTAAGATCCTCATTAGGCTGCTTTTGCACGTCGGCGAACTCATGCGGATACGTGTCCATCCAGTTCCAGATCGCCTTCTCCAGAGGATTCATAAGCACGAGATACGCCGACTTCTTGCCGACTAGTTGCCGGATTTTCTGTATAGTTTCTGCAACACGAACGAGTGAACGCGCGCGTAAGTGTACACGGCATTAAATATTATTGGCTTCATTTATGCACGCGCGCCACGTTTTAATAATCACCGCCTACCGTTCAGAAGCCTGGTCAATCTGTAGACATCGACATTGATATACTGCATCAGCTCGATGTCGCTGCAGTCTGGATTCTCGTCCCCGCTGTTGGACAGTTCCTGAAGCCTGGCCGATATCCGGTTGAAGACCGCGTTGAAGAACGTTAGGCTTAGAGCGAACAGCACTTTGCTCGCTAACGTCCTTATCATTTTCGTCTGCGGGCTGTCGTAGGGCATGCCTGCAACGTACACGTAATCCTTGAAGATTTTCTACTTTCACCTTGACTCGCGATCTCAACACGTTTCCTCGCCGAGTTGTTCCGCTCACCTATGAACTGACATATCTCCCGCAGCAGCAGCTTCACATTCATCGCCTCCTCGAATTTCGTTGTGTCCTTCGGTGTGTTCGCCAGGCACTTCTCCAGCGTGTCCAGAACGATGATGATTGACTCCTGTCGATCTTGATCCTTGGGTTGGAACGGCCGCTGACTGCTCGTGCTCGGTGTCAGCTCGTTGACCCGTTGCAGCATCTTCGTAAGACCAGATATAACGAAGGAGAAGCGGTATCGAGATATCTCTATCAGGCATTTCTTGCACCTCTTCTCGTTCACTCGAGAATGAGGACTCTCGGGACCGGATCGACACGGCAGCTGCGTTCAAAAAAGCGATCTCTTAGGGAAAGAGAGATATATATATATATATATATATAAATAAAAGGTACAATGTGACAAAAATATTTAAATAAAGTACAAAGTGTGCGCAATGAAGTAACATTGATGAATGAATGGATGATCCATTTTCGTCTCCTTGCAGATACGGGGACTATATATTAGGATGAAGGAGGAGGAGGCATCAAGGATGAAATGAGGCAGTCTTTGAAATAATGGTGGCGACAACGTGCCTCGGTTTTATTCCCTTTTGTTCGGGTGTATCGCGGGCAGCGGCAGCGCGCCGCGCGGTCGAGCTGTACGCTGTGCGTAAAGGGAATGCGACTTTCATTCTTGGATGGACCCATCCCATTCCGCGGGCTCGCATCAAACGCGCCAATTGTAAAAGACGTCATTCTTTTTTATCGCCATTTTCATGGGCACGGGGGTGGACACGAGCGCGGAATCTCGTCCTGATTTATTCACGTCCGTGTTATCCGGAGCGTTGTTGAGACCGTCGAGGAATACCGTCATTTTCTTATTGGTCTTGCAATCATCACGTTCCACGCGACGTTATATATCGCGGGTGAATAGTATACAGTTTAATTAAAACAAAAGCATCGCCCTACGTATCACGCCGAGCGTGGGTGGTGAAAATCGTGCGAACGAACATTCGTGAGTCATGGAGTCATCGCGCAAGTTTATCGATATTTACACCTCGCACCCCTATATATAATAGATACGTTACTGCATATACACCTTGCGTGAGCTGCTCTCACGGCGAGCCCGGCGAGGTTGACTGGAGGCGGATGGCGGAGGGGGCGAAGGTCAAACCGCACGAGGGGAGCCGGGAGCCGGGAGAGGAGGGGCCATCTTTGCAAGAATACATCTTTTCATGAATGAACGAATCAAAAGGAGGGAAGGAACGACATCGTATTCTCGGGCACGGCGGGTGGCCCTCCTCCCACTTTATCGATACACACTCGAAACGTACGACCGTCTTCGTCTTACGCGCGTACAGAGGTCCGATTTTTTTCGAGAAAAATAACGCGTGTAGCTGTAGCTGTTCGAAACCCTTTCTAGCTCGATCCTCTCAGCCACATTTGGGAGCGCGCGTAATCATATGATACGTTAGTAGTAAAAAATCAAGCACGTACATTATCTCGCAACCGTGTCAACGTGAAAGAATTAAATAAGTTTACGTACATCTTGCGTACATAGGTTGAGACTCTATCATGTTATTTCTTAAATGTAAGGTTTTGATATGCCACCCTTCGCGCGCGTTATAAGAACGAACAACGATTTCAAAGCCCTAGCAACTGTAAAAAATTTAAGCAAATCTCTGATCACGTTTCTTATAAACGTCCGTTTTTGTCACATCTTTCGGAAAATCTGCTGTAGAAATGGAACGTATAAAATAATGGTATGCATGAATCTTTGTCCTATATTTAGAAGTTTGTGAGCGCGCTCCTACGCGGACATCGGATGATGGATTAACCGTCGACGTCGAGGTCCTCGACGCGTATGTTTCTCATGTCGAGCTCGCTTCAAGTATCATACACATCTCTGACACGTCTCATGTTCAACGTCGGCACGTAGGTATTACGACATTACGAGTCGACTTTGACCGACTCTCGTGGGTAGTCGCATATCCTCGTCCTCGTCGCAGTCGTTGATCCAGGAGTAGCTGGCCGAAAAAAATGTACCCGGTGCCGGAGCCGGAGAACGGGGCGCCAAGTATGGCGGGAACGAGGTCGACGGTACCGGTGTGCCCCCAAGACGCGCCCATGAAAGGCGTTGACGAGGACGACGGCACGGCACGGCGCGGCACGGCGCGGCGTCGACGAACAAAACGGTCAAGTACCGTAGCCGTGGCCGTTGCACACACCGGAAGAGGGTGGCGAGCCGTGAGCCGTGAGAGGGAAGGAGAGGGCGAGCATGAAACGAAACGGAGACAAGGGAGATCGACACGCTTCTCGCGTCGGAGGTCGGAGCATCGCCAATCGCGCACCTGAGCCTCGAAACGCGCGAGCACCAACGTCGCCCATTCCCCGGGCTTTTGCGTCCCCATCTCTGTCCGAGGTTCACTGACAGGCCGTTACCACGTACCACGACGCGCCAGCTCGCTACGAGCCGCGACCTTACGTCATCATTTATGAACGTTGACTGAACGACTGAACGACCATCACGGGCCATCACCCACGACACCCACCATCGGCACCATCACCGCGGCACGGCACCGCGGATCGCGCAGGATCGCGGACCTGCGAATCGCCAATCGCCCCCGTTGGGGAGGGGCACTTGCGGCGGTGGGACAGCGAAGATGATCGAGCGCGGCCGAAGGTGCACGACCGCCTCGCCGACGCGCCAATCGCGCCGATCGCGCGTTACGTGCTCAGGAGTGTCGCGCGAAACCGAAGGACTCGAACGTATTCTACGTAAAGGGAAAACAGTTTTTACTTTTTTCCAAAATGAAAAAAGGAAGAGGAACACGTGAACATTTTCAAATGCGATATTATTTTTACGTGTCAATACGTTCCTCCGTTCTTTATTGCATCTTTCTTAGGATTATTTGCTTATTTGACGTTAAACGTTAAAACATTTGAGAGACTACAGGGGATGATGGCTTCGTACATCCCTGGTTCGGTCAACGCTGGTGCACCATCACCCCACCTTGCAACCACGTCATTCATAACTGTGCGACGCCGACGCCGACGCCGACGCCGACGCGGCCTTGTACCCGGGACCCGTGCTCGTACGAAACGTCGATCACGTTAGTGCGATGTTACAACGTGGTTGCCTTTTACTGTGCTCGACTCTGTTGGTCAGTATATTACAAAGTCATAATCTCTACGATCTTGGTCGACGTTATACATAATAATCATTTTTATTAACTATAATATCATGCACGTATGCACCCTCGTTATTTTTCATATAGATATTTATTAAGTACGAACACAACATGTTTATACAATCAACGTTGAAAGACACAAATATAATAATGTCATATATGAAATAAAGATAACTAAAACATTCACCTTTTACTGTTTAAACTAATATATCACAACAATCACCCGTATCACATGTATCAATATACTATCATAAGATACTCGGATAATCAGGCACGTTTGAAGACGTCTCTTTTTTTTTAATTCTCTTATCTTTGTCTATTTACGTAAGTGCACACACTTCCTCTATTCTAAATAGATTCTTTAATGTATATATTAAATACTATATCTACTAGCTTCGCTTTTCTCTTTCAGATAATTATCTATTTGTAAAAAGAATATCTTCTTCCAATAAAGAAATTACAGAATCAAAAATATCCACGTCTCGTTGTCGATGCTTTTCGATGGAATGAACGCTTTTCGGGTCCAAATCCGAGACTCTGACACTGCTTAAAAAATAATGTTGCTCCGAAAGTTTTATCGTATTTTCCACAGGCATTCTTGATGCATTATTCCTGTAAAAAGAGAAAAATGATACGTTTTTACAACTATTTACAACACATCTAATTATCTGAAATGCATTTAATATAAGTAATAATAATCATTCATATGTTGCACATTTGGCGCTGATAAATAATGATTCACATTATACATTTATGAATTGTAGATTTTATGACGTAATTAAATTACATTAAATCCACGATCAAATAATCATAATTAGATAAATAAAGTATCCGCTGCAAGTGCTGCATTGGGCAACTATTATATTATTTGGACAATGGCTATAGAGAATACGTAGAAAGCGCATTTCCTCTCATAGAATCATTGCATTAAATCAATTTTATCATCAACTTTGCCTTTGTTGTAAGATTTATACATTATTCTCGGCACTTTAAACATGCAGTGAAAATAAAGGCTATTGTTTCGAACAATACACTTACGGATGCAGTTCGCGAAAGGTCATTAATATCGAACAATCTCTGGCCGTGACAAATAAAAGGTACATTTGTAACGCTGACAAATGTTCGGCGGTAATCTGCATATTTGCCTTTCGCTCGTCGTCATCGTTGCTAGTTCTTTGATCATACGGATGACTCTCGTTTCCATAAAATGGTTGGCGCGAATCTAGGTTGGAACTACGTTCTGTTTGCGATACAAGACCGCCGTTTACAAACGTTCTGTCGGCAGATAAGATACATTCTGATCTGGCATTACTATTTCCATTAAAATCGTCATCATGTTCTTGTGCACGTGTGCTCTTAAGAAGCGTTTGAAAGTCTATTTCTTTCATGGTCTCCATTTTCTGGACTGCATTCTGGAACAGAGAGAGGGAAATATTCCCTAATGTATTCATCCATTCAACAAAACGTCCTTCTTTTGTACGTGCATTTGTATGAAAATACATACCGTAGGTTGATCAAGTAAAGCGTGAAAAATATTACAAGTTTTATTTAATTTTGTCAAGCCAGAGTATATCATATCGTCATTTAGTACCGGTGCGAGCTTGGAATAAATGCTGTGAATGTACGTAGTATTAACGTAAGACACGCGCTGCATATTCCACATTCGCTCCAGCACCGAGTTCTTCGGCAAGTCGCTGCCATCAAACGTGCATTTCTGCAAGATAAAAAAGATAAAAGTTAGTTAGAGGGCGACGATTATTATTTTCAATAAATAATGATTTTCAATGCAAGCACTTACCTTTTCCGCGAGACGAAGGCACCATTCGGCTCTCGCGACCGCGCCTGGTGCGGCGCAAAATGTCGTTGAAACATGATTCGCGAGAAAGAGAAAATTACGTGAAAGGGAGATGGGCGGCAGTTTCAGCTGCTCTTGGGCGATAGGTCGCGTAAGGACGGCACAAACCAACGTGCAGAACTCGTCGACGCGGCGAGCTTGTCCGCCGCTCTCCGTTGCTTCACTCCGAAACCACTCGTCCAGCACGTTCTCTAGATCATTTGGCGAGGACGTCTGATCGTAGACGACGAAGCCATCTTTGAAGATTTTCAAGTTGTTCTGCGGTGCTTTCAAAAGTTCTTCTATTGCAGCTTTCATACGCGTCTCCACCCCGGAGAACAGATCAAACGGGCAATAATTACTGCGAGCGGTGATGCTCTTCCTCCGCAGCTAAAAAATTATTTTCTTTTAGTATATCATCTATCTAACATTTGGGTTGTATATTATTATTTGTGAAAATAAAGTTAAAAATCAATGTTTATTAAATACCTTGGCGTACTGATTGAGACAATACGGACATCCAGGAAACCTCTGCTCCGCCTTTGGTAAGTATCCCTGCTTCGGCTTTATCTCCACGCAGAAAGTCGAACGGCTTCGGAAGACGGTTTGATCGAATTCCAAGTGCAAATCCAAAAACGTATAATCTGGAAACTTTGTGGCGTATGTGTCCGTGATTTCCTTATGCCGTCGTTCCTCTGCAACAATGTAAGATCGATCACGATAAATATCCCATGTACTATTTTCTTCGCTTATTTTCAACAAATTTAATTTTATCTGACTGCTAACGTCAACATTGTTGTATAATAGTAACGATAACATACGCGCATATAAGTACGGTCCTAAAATAACGACTGTTCTAAAATAAAATTCCTTCACCGGAATTGTGGCGGCGGAGGGTGCCATGGTACCGCAGACAACGCGTAGGCGCGAAACACTTGCGATTCACGTGATTCTGAAATGGAAGAAAGTCACGCGAGCCGCCGCGCTGCGCCGCGGTGTCGAGAGTGCTTTTAGCGAATAGTAGACCAAATCGCATAAATATAGTAATATATAGCGATGTAGATGCCGAAAAGAGATTCGTGACTCTTATTACGTCACTCGCAACAAAACGCGCTTCGTTCGCGAGAACGGGGTAATTTAAAGACCTTGCATCGCAACAAGTGCGATTTATGAATGGCAGATAGGTGACTAACGGCAAATAACACGGCCAAATATGACTTTCTCGGCAATTAAAAGATATCCAAATGTTATAAAAAGAAGAATGAGGAATTCAAACACCGCCCACCTTCTCCCACATACCGTTATCTCTCGTAGGAACTTTCACAGATTACATGTATAGATAGCGTACAATAATGGCAATGAGAGAATAACGCCAACTATAAATCATACTATAAATGTTCTATGCGACAATGCATTCCGAGAAAAAAAAACACTACAGGGAAACTGTCGCGTTCGCACTTAATATTAGAGAAAAAAAGTACTCGATAGGTGTCAAGACCCGAGATAGGAGTTACGGCGCGCGCTCTGCGACACGAGTCTAAACAGCGCCGTCGTAATCTCTCACCGACGACGATTGCGAGACGATCGTTTATCGGGGGGGTAGCATAAATTAACGAGCGGACGCGGACGCCTGAACTTTCCCTCCGCGCATTTGCCTCCGTCGAACACACGCGGCCGTAAGATATTGCCACAATTAAACGCGTCAAACAGAAGTTACCTCGTTATCTTGCTTATCCCTCGTCGGAATATCCGAACGGGTATCCCAACGTGGATGTACTCCATTAGTCACTCGTATCTCTCAAAATCGTTAACGACCGGATACAAACCGTGTAGTTATGACGTTATGAGTTTCACGAGAAAGCGTCATAAGCCCGTTAAGAAAAACATTATACGATTGCGACGCGACATGCATTTGACTTTAATGATAATTAATGCCGCTTTGCAACACTCGTTGGTCGTCGGGAAAAAATAAAACGAAGAGAAAGGAACGAGTTGTGAGAAAAATCAACGTGGAAAATTAATTTTTTCTCCCAACGTCATTAAAATCAAATATTAAATATACCGTATAAGCATTCTACGCATTTAATCATCAGGTACTCTTTGCTTGTCGGTCTCTACTTTTTTTTTGCCTATCCGAGAGTTGGAACAAAGCTATTTTGCTGTCATGTAAACTTGATGGCACAAATTTCTCTTCGCGTGATGAACGCCGAGCGAAAGGAGAGGTCTGTGTCAAAGGATAATGATGTACGGTAATTTTGCTAAATGCCGAGCACGCGTGACTTTAAATCTCGTGCATCATGCACAAAGTTACGGATCGATCGTCTTTCCTTTTTCTCTTCGACGGAGAGAAAGCTGCATGCACAGCTAATACGAGCGAATGTATAATTTCTTCGGAGCTACTCGTTATCTCTCCTGCTCCGAATTTGTATCGAGTAATTTTATAGTGGTTTTTTTTGTTATTTAGATTATATATAGATATTAAAATCGTCTACTTAACAAGCTTGTGCAATAATGCATTTGACAATGGTCTTGTGCATCGAATTACGTCCATTACGTGAATTGTATCTTTTTAAGGTGCACGTTACGCGCGCGCTAAAGAGGTCAATTACTCCGACCAGCCATTTTCGTTCAACTTCATATACTAACGTCCGTTCCAGCCTACGTTAGTATTGTTGACCGTATCGGGTGAGGACTGATTACAACATACTATATCAACGCTCGACGCGGAAACATAGTATCGAGATATTCTCACGCCAAGATAACGTTATGTATTTCTGCGCCGGCATCATTAACGCGTCATTAACTGCATTTTTCATTGTGGAAGGCGAACTGGTCGGTAGCGCTCGGAAATGAAACAATTACGAATCTTAATAATGCCTCGTTACGTAACTTGGAATGAGAAAGAGAGAGGCAGAGAGAGAGAGAGAGAGAGGAGGAAAAGAAAAAAGCGGAGAAAGATAGAGAGCTATGTATATTTTTAAAATCTTATTTTGTTTCATCTAATTTTCTTTAAGCAAAAGCACGCAAAATATAAATTAAAACTTTTTAGATTAGATATGTCAGATCTATCGCAAGGGAGTGCATAGGGAAATAATCCCCGCCGTGGCAGCGACGCCGATACAGAGAGTAGCCGGTGCCGTGATAGGTTTACACAGTCTTCGTTTACACATTCCTCGCTTCAATCTTTCAAAATAAACGTCCGACACGGCCGCGGCGGTCCAGTTGCAAAAATATTCCGCGTGACGTGGGTCGATCTCCGAAAATAGACGATACCGAGGACTACTCCAGAAAGTGAGCGAGATCGAAGCGAAAAAAAAAGCGGAGAATCTCACGAGGTTGCGGCAGGTGCAGCTTGCGTTAACGCGAACCATAAAGGCGCGATGTTGCGTTATACCGCTCAAGTATCGAATCGTAAGAATTTCGAGTTCCGCGAGGCAACATTGTTTCGAAAAATATACATCGACACTCATAACATTTTTATATTAACTTCGTCGAAAGGGAAGAAAGGGGACGCGTTGCAATATGCGTACACATTAGTGTTATTTTCAGACGGCGTATCTCCTTCTTCGAAAATTTTGTTTACATCGTCTGTATATGTCATGCATATCGCGAGTGGTAAGACAAGAAAGCGCCTTTCTTCGAATGAGCCGTTAATTAGAGAGACTTTTAATGAAAGCGGCCGCGGGGAGTGTCACGATGACGACGCACGCGTGATTCGATTTTCGCATTTCGCACGGATTTCGCCGACGACGAAATTGACGGTGAACGTGCCGGTATTGGCGCGTGGCGCGTGGCTGACATCGTATTTTTGTCGTTCGGTTTCGGTAATGACACGCACGAGAGCGTGCCGCGAAGCGACGCACGTTTACAGGGGGAAATCGATACTGCCGTATCGCGCGAGTGCGCAATATCGTCGGAGATAACAGCGCAATTCCAGCCTGCGAATAACACGGCACGCGGATAAAAATATCGACAGTCGCGCGAGAATTTCACAATGTGCGCAAAGGCGTTCGCGGACCCGATAACCTTAGGCGAATAACAGACCCCGAGAGAGCTTTTACGTTATCGGAGGAATGCCTGACATGTCGTGTGACGTCTCGATGAACTTTCTGCTGTATTTTTTGTCAGGAGATTACAATTGATTCTCGATGCGATAATCGAGAACACTCGAATAAATACCGCGTAAAATATTTCCAGCTGAATTATTTACGCTCGAGATGTGCGTAGATATGCGAAATGGAAATTGCGAGGAATATTGAATTTTACATCCCGAGCGATAAGGGATAAATTAGATACGAGTTGTAGTTTAAACTGTTATATCGCTAAACATCACACATTTGCCTTTTAAAGACACCTTTTCCCTCATTTAAATTACATGTTATGCGTTAGGAAGCGCGGTACGTAGCCGCGTTTCCTTAACGATATTTCTCGAAATAGCGCAGACGCTCGGCGCGGGCTACCGCGGAGCCGCGGCTTCTCGCGAAATATATTTTCTAGCCGCGCGCGCGCCGTGATGTCGTTCACCCTCGCACTCGCATATTCCTTTTGCAATCAAGCAACTTTTGCCGACGAAACGACCAACAGCGGTAGAGGAGGGCGCGGTGGTGGCTTCTATTTCCAATAGCCGCCGGAGAAAGTGCCAACGTGTCAGAATATCGACGAATCCGCGGAAAGAAAAGCAGCGGATGAGCGGAAGAGCACGGCCGACCACTTGTTGCATCTGCAGCCGCGGGAGACCAGACCGGATAGACTTTTCGCCGGTAAACCGGTGTGTAAACGGATAAATACAAGTTTATCCGGATAAGTGTGAGCGCGGTGGTGGAAACGCAAAGGAAACATATGCGTTCTGTGAACTCACGTACAGAATTTGATAATAACATATCAGTTTACTTCGTTCTAACGTATCTATTTCTAAGAAGAACATAAGTTACGGTAAGGGCGTGAAAGATCCAGTAATACAAAATAATTAAAAAAATAAATAAATAAAAAACAACAAATATGAGAACGCGGAGATGGAGAAAATAGAAGAAATAAGTGAGAAAAGTAAATAAAAGAAAAGTAAAAAGTAAAAACACATAAAAGTAATCATATGAGGGAGAAAAGAAATATATGGCATTATTAAACGAACGAAAGTACGTAGCAGAAACGGAACGTACATGCATAAAAGAAAATAAAGACACGGTGACCGAGTATGAACTCTCGCCGCCCGGTATTTAGTAAGTATAATAAACTTGTACTGGTAAACTTCGGTAAACTGTTCTGACACGCATACGCCGACCGCACGCCAATGAGCGAGAACCGTTATGTACGACGCTTATGAGAATAAAAAGATGACATGATCACAATTCACACACACACACACACACGCAAACGCGACTGCAGCACAAAGAGCTTTGAAGCTTCCTCAAGACTTTTCTCGTAACAAAGAAAAGTCTTCTCGCGCCACATTAATTTCCGTGTCGTCACGTATACGGGGTAATATAAGAACGGAATTAATTCGTTCGTGTTTGCGAATGCGGGATCGCGACGTGATGCGACACGGGACACGGGGTATTCTGATTAACATCTCTTCCCAGCAGCCCCTCCCTGGATGCAGCCGCGCGTAAATCCTGCCCACCTACCTTATCGAGGGTTTTCTTGCAGGACCCCGTTTCACAAGGTCTGCCCAACAGATATCCGGTGGAAAACACCCGACACGGTCGACGCTGGACGTCTATGCGTAAACAACGGCAGTCCACGCCCACGTGTGGACGTATGCAAACGAGTATTGAACAACTATCCAACACGTCCGTGTTCGTTTTACGTGCAAACGCGCGCGCGTGCTCTGTCGTTTCCACGCGAAAAATACAGAACGTGAATGAATCAAACACGAATTTATTCTTTATTTTTATCCTCTATCGTTATATTACTTATATTCTATTCATCCAGTATATCCTCGTTATTGCGCCACATGTTACGTCAAAAACCATGTATTAAGGAAGGATTGATGGTTAATATTTTAAAATAATCTCGTAAAGATGGCGCTCGGGTGATCGACGGATCCCGATAAGGCGCGGAGCGACACGTGCCCCGGAGCGCGTTCGCACCGAAAGAGAAAAGGGAAGTAGTTCCACCGAACGAAATTACCGCGCGTTGCATACAATGGGCGGATCTCCTTCTCGCCGATAGCGGATGATAAACGTCGCTGCATTATTCAAAAATAAATCCCCGCGCGCGATCTCGCGTTTTCATTGTGTGCGCGTGTAATAAATGTTCTCGAACAAAACGCATTCTTCTAGGATGAAGGTGGAGACAGAGGGAGTCGGAAAATCTTGGCGAGATAGAGATGGTCGTTTCCCCTCGTCGAACAAGTACGTAAGCGCTCCTTCTTATTCTGGCATGCCTTCAATTTAATTAACTTTGTTATTTTATTATTGACGCCAATCATCGAACGTGACTCTCTGGAATCTCTCGCAGTTTTTAAGTGCATAAGCACCGCTGTCAAAACAGTCGCCAAATGTTATACGCATGTGCATCGATGATCTGATTTTGACCTTTCGCGCAAGAAAGAAAACTGTAAGACGGGACGGAGACAGGAATATAATATGTATGCAAATATTGTGAGTCCTCGCTATGCAGTCAAACGTAAACAGAAAAAATATATATCATCTTGTTTTATATCTTTTCCTGATAGGACCTTCGACGCATTAAATATCAGCGAAAAATCAAGCGTAATATTTTATCGTCCTCTAAAAATATAATTTAGATTTAGAAGCTTGTAAACCGAAGGAGTTGCACGTACGTGTTTATTCGAAGAATCGTCACGCTACGGATAAACATTGTAGCGAGGAATCTGTTTAGCATAACTTAAAATAATTAAAAATAATTTCCATCAGTTTCTGCTGTTAGTTAAACAGCTGTAAAAAAGATTTAAAAAAAGTTAAAAGAAGGCTATGAAGGGATTAAAGCTTACTTGCTATCACGCGGCTTAATCTGTCATGATCGCACGACGCGGCAACGTCCATCTCTTATACCTATATATTTATTAACGGTTTCCCCCTTTTAATTACTATAATAACTGCTTCTCTGCAGCAGTTGCCAGCATCTTTCTGACGTTATCCGTCGCTGTGTGTACACGCGCCGACTTTATCGAAAAGACCTGTCTTTTACATCTTGCCAAATAATATTCGAATTTTTCGAAGATTGAGAATATTATCGAAAATAGCGAGGTAGAAACGAAGCTCGCGTAGACTTCGTTAATACACCTTTACAGTTTCTGTTCATAATATTCTAAGTTTTCTCGAGTGAGAAATCAACAGGACGGAGATATACAATAGTTTTACAGAGTTACAGACGTCCTACTCGACGATACAACGACTATTATGTCCACTGCGAAAACCAGCGGGTAAGAATTCAGTCGCGTCTCTCGTTAATGAAATTCTATTTATCGCGTTCACGCGCGCGCACACACACACACACACTTTGGATTCTCGTCCTTCGTCCAGATCAATGATCTCTCGGCCGATTTCGCGGTGCGTCGCTGAGAACGATATTTAAATCCTCACTTTAGCTTTTCCGAAAGAGCGATATGTCGAAGGACACGGAGTCGTGGCCTTTTCGTAGGAATGATTGATCGTGCGTCCCGCTTGAAACGTATATGACCGTCGTGGCCAACGCGGCGTATCGAGCGAGATGCGCTGCAACGCTAATTTTTTTTTCCGTAAATTGCGAGCTATACGTGTAAAACTCTACGTTAAATTAAGAAACGTGATTCAAGTAGTGGCAGGGATTATGCGGGATACGTGTGACTCAGAGACATCAAGGAGGAACGAGGAACTTGAAAACGGATGGCGGCGAAAAACGATAAAGCAATGACACGGTACTCGACGACCGCTGGCTTTAGCGTCTCCTCGAGGACGCTTCTCGTCGGGCGACGTCATCTTTTTGAGAGCGCACAGCTGCAGGCGGAGAGTGTGAGTCGCAGACAGCCCGCAGGAGCCGCGCGTCGTAAATTTAGTCCGCCGAGGCGGACGCGGCGCATAGCACTTTATTTCCCAGCACGAACGAAAAGCACCAGTCACCGTCGCCGTCGCGCCGCGCCGGTCGAAGCCCGCGACATTTGGCTCAATTTTATAAGTTAATTGTAAGTGAGTTTACTATCGATCGACACGCCGGTATCGCGTCGCTCGGTGGGAAAGCCGCGTCCGTTGCTTCTCGAGAACTTGCTTAATTAACTCTCGAGAAATGGAATGCATCGCGCTGATCGTTTTGTTCCGATACGACGGTAAATGTTATTAACGCGCAAAGATTCGTGGGCAAATATATGGTTGGTCGCGCACGAGTATATAGACGCAGAAGCGATGGATATGGCACATTTAACCGTAGATTGCTCTCGAAGGAGAAGAAACCGTTTTCTGTGTACCTACCTACCTACTGCATCGGTCGCTTCGCGGCGAAGCGAGACTTCGAGTTAGAAAGCCGTCGAGATAAAATATCAATATAATTATCGCCGTTGACTATTAACGGCGAGAATGATATCTAATTCTTCGCGATTTAATACAACAGGTTAAATCTCGGCTGTAAAACGTTATTAAAATCTCGCGATTTCGAATGCGAATATAGAGAAACGTACGTCAATCGAACATCGCATTATCATAAGCGTAAAAATATATACATCGAAAAACAAGAAATTTTTATAACAATCTCTGTAACACGACGGCATTGTAACATTTATCGCGGGTAATATTTTTGCTGTACTTAATAGCTGTCCGACGTGGATTCTGCAACGACGAGAATAGTTGCGCTGACTGTGCTTATATTTGCGAGAACAATTGAATTTGCGAATTCAAAAGTTGATTAAAGTCGCCGAGCTTAGCGACGATCTGTCCATTAGCGTCCGATATCGACCACGTGATTCGAATAATTGAGATGAACAGTTCTCTTTTTACAGACGCTCCGTACATCTGTAATATCGTAACCCGATACGATCGATTGCATGGCATGGACAAAAAAAGAACGAGAGTAAGGTGCAACCGAATCGCCCGTTGTTCACAATATTGCAACAAAATCGATGAAATTTCAGCTCCAGGCTCCTCGTGTGCACGAGAAACCCGGTGTCTCGGGAGGCTTCAGACGCGGAAAGATCGTTATTCGGCTGGAGCGATCGAAAAATAAGGTGGCAGGTGTACGCGCCGACGAAGAATAACACAGCGACTACCTACCTTAATAAAAATGAGAAGATGGCACGACCGAAAACTAGTTACGATACGCGGCAGCTGTTCGCGTTTGCTTCCCGAGAAAGAACAGCACGCGTACGTATAAATATTGAAAACTTATATTCTGCCGGAGAAAGTATATAATATACAGGATGTGTGTGTATGATAATTAGATGCGTGCAAAAAAAAAAAAACAATAAAACAAGACGCGTAAAACCGAAAGTAGCAGCTAATTACACAAAATCACAAAGGCTCGTGAAACGGTTCAATTTTCGAAGCCAATATATTTCGTGGGAATCTCTGCATATTTTATGCAAATACGAGGAGCGATGAAGAGCGATATCTCTGACGTGTGGGAAAACAATTTACCTGGTCGGAGAGGGCGGACGGCGTCCGACAATTTGGCTATATCGGCCGCGTCATAACGAACAATTTCGGGGATCTGCACGTAAGAGCCCAAAAAACAGGAAACCACGTTCCTGGCGTACCCCACCTCCCGCTGCACGCGTGTTCTGCCGCCATCCGGTGAAACCTCGCCCGGTAACGACTTCCGGAATCGTATTACCGTGTGCTCCTGAAAGACGAAAAAATAAATCCAATAAAGCCAAACAACGTCGATCGCATATCTTGAAACGCTTTATCTTTTGACAAACATCGAATGGGAATACTAATTATAAGTATACAGCGTGTAATATTGAATAATTTAATTTCGACATCCTTACGCTGTAAACACAATTGCGCGTGCAAAATTACATTCTATTTATAAAGTCATACGTAGGAAGAAAATCGCATGAGCGTAAAAAAAAGATTCAAGGTGGACAATAGCGCGTTCGTATATCTATTTTCTTTCCGTTGGCGGTCTCGGTCTGTCTGAACAAATTAAACGACTCCGCATTTTCTATGCGATCCCGCTTGTAAGTATGTAAGGTGGCTCCTCGCGTTATCAGGAGCAGATCACGTCCTCCCAACCTGGCGACACCGCAGCCGGCGAGTATGTAGGTCGACTTTATGAAAAATTCTCGGGTTAAAGATAACGCCCAAGCCGCTCTCGTCCGTTGTTTCCAGGCATGCTCGACTTCGTCACGGCTTTTACGAACGCTATTAATCGATGAACGAAGCCAAGGTTTTAGGACACTCTCTGAAACTTAATTCGCCCGCGGGTTCTCTAATTTTTGCACCACGACAAGTATTAAAGTGACGATATTTGAGTAATCGTCCCTTTTTTAAGCTTTTCTCGTTCTCTCGTCCACTACATTATGTGTATCTTTTCACACTCTCCAAATGAGAGAAATGCCGATAATTCGAAATTCGAGAATATTTTGTATTCTTTAGACGTTTAGACAATCCGGAGCCTCTTGGACGGAACGCGTAAAACAATTAATAATGTAATAATAAAATACATATGTTATTGATATTTCTGAAAAGGTCAACGGTGCCAGATCCTTCCAAATGCAACATTTTTATTACAACACGAAACCGTCCGTCATCGAATCTTATTCGGGATTTCGAAAGGCAGTCATTACTCGCAACAATTTCGTAAGGTTTGGTCAAGCAGGCGAATGTAACCGTTATTTAACAAGCGTGGCGCATTATGCGCTGTGATTTTCGGCACGGCGGTCGACACGCTCGATCACGACTATCGACGAATATCGCGAACCATGTCGAATTTGGTAATACATGGTCTTACATGGAAAAAACGAGCGATGACTAAGCGCCATCGTTCCGGCACCTTGCGTCCGTTTTTACGATTTCGATCTACGATCGCGTCCTAATTACGATTCTAGATGAGTATCGAACCCGTGAAAATCGGATTTTGTCGCTTTCCCGAACGAATTGATCCACGTTACTTCGGACAGTCCACCAACGTTGAAAATGATTGTCCAGCGGCTGAGGCCAGATCGATGTTTCGTTTGGTGACTCGCTGCGATTTTCGGGACGGGCTCTAATCACTCTTAAAGTATCGCAATAAACGACGACATTAATTACTAGGGCGCGCCGGTCTTCTATACCTACAGGAAACCGGCTGTACTACTCGCCGGCCGACGTTTTGTCATGTAAAAAGACAGGAGATGAACGCTCGATCGCCCGTTGGCCCAATAATGATGTACGGGCAGTTGCTACGCGTTCCACTTTGCTGACCGTTCGCCACGATATTCGCGCGAACTATTGATGATTCGATTACAGCCGCGATCTTCAGAGGTGAGCATGTCGATGTACAATTATTGCAAAAAAAAGAAAAAAAACGGTGACGTAAATATTGGGTGGAAATATATATAGACGAGCTGTTGCAAAAGTTGTTAAATACATCGAAAGAGTCAACTGTTCGTTGCTCCCGTTAGTGACAGATTTATATCTTGAAGTCTATGAATTTCAATTATAGCACAATATCTGTCAGAAGACATTTATGTATGACATAATGCAATATAAAGGTAAATATAAGTTGTGATAAAAATGATTATCTCTTCTATAAATATTAAAGTAAAAATAATAATAATTTTTAGAGAGATAACGGAACATCAGAAAATCGAGAATTCTCGGAATATACGAAATTATTGAGCCATCTTCTATCGAGTTTCAATCGTTCAGTAACATTCAGCAAGTAGCAGTTGTTGCGAGGAAATATGAGGAAAACACGAACGCTATACGCACATAAATTACGTAGGAATAATATACGTATTTAATTAATCTAAGTCGATGCCCAGTAAGCAAGAAACACCAAGAAACATTTTAACTACTTACATTACAGCAACGTTTTAACATTAATGCAATGTAGTTGAAATGTTTCTTGACGTTTCTTGCTTACTGGGTGAAGGATCTTATAGGATAGGCAACGCCGTTAATATATGACTGTCAGGAAAGCATGTTAAACAGAGCAACGCTTAAGCTTTTTAACATGCGCGCATGCTGCATATTACATGCGGCATTGTTTTATAACGACATTCGCCGTCATAATTTACATGCGTTAAAGTTAAAATCAAGAGCATGTGACCCAACGTGAACCGCCAATCGATATATAGGCTAAGCCGGCTGACGTGGCTGCAAGTTTGTCATGCGTCACGTCTATTAATGCGGCTGTATATACCTGCCTGCGTGCGTCGTTTTTTTTCGTGCGAGGTCTGCCAACAAAAGTATCTCCACGCGGAGAAAATACATGCGATTACGGCATATCTAAAAATACTGGATGAATTAATATTTAAATTGAAATTCGTTCAAATAATAAAATTATATAAATTTAAATCGTGCCAGAGGCTAATCGTGTTAGAATGCAATTTGTTTTATAATGTCACACATTGCTATTAATGTTAATGACCGTGTATTCAAAAATAGAACAGAAAAATATCGAGAAGAAATGTGATATTGATTTCTTGCAGTTTCGGTTTTTTGACAATAATTGACGGCTTATCCTTGCCAGTGATAGATTCACGACGCACGGCGCTATATAAAGATTGAATAGCAAACGATCCGTAACGCGAATTAAATTAATTGCCTATAGTAGAACAACATCTCGACCGGGACGAAGCACAGCAAAAAATGCTAATCGCTTCTACAGTTGCGTAAGCGAAATTAAACAGAAGATCACGAGGCGCGTTTCGACCTCGTTGAAACGCTCGACGTGACTGCCGCTTACATTAAGCTGCCTACTGTTGTAATGTTTCTACGCGAGTAGTTTTTAATAGTTAATCTACGTACGAGTGACCCCGAGACTAAATAACATCTTTTTTTTACGCAACGCAATGTGACCAATAAGTCGAATAACCATGTATGAGTCCGATAAGGATAACGCGCCGTACTATCGGGTCAAGCCTGTAAATGTATACACAGTGTATCGCATTCGATACGCTCTCAATGCGCGGCTTTCAGCGCTTTCTGAGGATACCCTTGTCAACTATCTCCCGTTGTACAAACGCGGTACTGCACAAACACATTGTAAAAGTGACGTAACTGCTGTCGCGAGAGTCCAGATTAGATCGGAACTCGCGCACTCGTTGGAGCACACGAACGAAAAGGGTGGTCCAAACATAGAAACAGAGCAGGAAATCGATATCGACGCCGATTCGTTTCGATTCAACGCAACGCGAGAGAGAGAGAGAGAGAAAGAGAGAAAGGTTGGAAGGGAGAAAGGGAGAAGGAGAGACCGGATGCCCGCTTCGGCGAACCGTGTCCAGCGCGCGATCTCATTAAATTCAACATGACCCGTTCCCGCCCGCTCGCGACAGATCGGACACGGAATCACGCGGAAACCTCAACAACGCTGGAACGACGTCGCGCCTGGAGCTACACCGCATAATGCGCGCGAGCGCGTTAATTCCCCGCCGAAAATGTCGCGCCGCGACGAGTTTCGCGGTTAAACGCGGGTAATATCGGCGGTCCCGGTTACCAATCTCCCCGTGAATAAATCGAGACCGTATTTCAGCAACGATATCTCGATATCGTCTCGTTTTTCTAAACGGTAGAGCGTTTAGCACGGATGAAGAGTGATTTCATCCTGCGTTCTCGCATGAAGCAACGACATCAAGAGAAGGTAATAACAAAGATTGAACGGCGATGTTTATTATCGAGAAAGATCCCACTGGAACAAAGAGAGGACGAAAATAAACGATTAATCTTCTCGGAGAGTTTCATACCGCGACTGTCCAGTGGACACATAGATAGGTAAGGGTCGACGACCCCCGGAACTCTCGGAAGAACCGTGGAAGCGTATTAATTGCAAATCGCTCCGAAGCCATCCATCGATCGACGTCCGACCATTCATCACCTGGCGATCGCCAGCACAGTTCTGAGTTCTGAGGCGCGCGGAGGATCGATCGGTCGGCCGGTCCCCACTTCAGTGCCCTCCTTTCTTCCACCACCCGCCACCCGCCCGTACATCCCCGCCGCGTCAACCGGGGGGTCAACGGCCAACGGTTAATGGTCCCTCTTTCTCTCTCTTTGACCCGCTCTCCCATAAGCGCCTCTCTTCTCTTTCTCTCTATCTCCCTCTCGCGCGCGCGAGGAGACTCCGCTTCGCGGTTACTCACTACCGCGTCCCACTCGCTCCCTCTTCCGCCTGTACACCCTTTTCTTCCCTTTCTATCCTTTTGCTCGCTCCCACCCCCGAATCCTCTTCCCGTCTTCCCTCCGGGCGAGCTGCAAGACGTCCAATGGCGCAGCGTGACGATCGCTGGTGCGGACTGCGGAGCCGTGTGCACGCGCGCATCGGCCCGCGATCTATGACTGATTAGGCAGAGATAGGCCGCGCGCAATTATCCGTACCTTGAAGAGCGAGACGCGGGGAACGGCTGCGGGTGACAGGCCGAACGGTTATTACGAGCGGATGGGAAGAGCAGGACTCGCGGCTCGCGAGTGGTCCGATCGATACGTCCTATCGACCCCGATCCCCGATCACATCGCGACGGTTGAATATCAAACATTGCCCGACCCTCCGCTGCCGTTACCTATAGTTTCCTTCAGCTGACAGTAAAGCTCGAATTGAATAATCCTTCCATCTACTTCCATTTGGTTCTACATCGTTAATGGCGCGACGATAATTCGTCATACGCACGCAGCCGTATCGAACTGCAATTTCTGGTTGATTAGAGGCTACGACGATTGCGTACGCGATTATGCAGACAGAAAACAGCGTTTCGCGAAACAAATACCGATTGTGGTAACGTCAAGGCCCATGCTAGTCGTCCAGGATATATCATTGGCCGTGCGTATAACCATCAATGAGACGTCGCTATCGGCATGTACTTAGAAAATAGCGTAATCCCTGTGATCACGAAGAATATCTGAGATAATCGAGATGTGATTCAACGAACGTCGAACGGCATCGTGCGGGAGAAGGGCATCGCATCGGATCGGATTGAAGTCGCGTACCTCGCGTGATCAAAACTCTCGAAAGTTCTCGAAACTCGCAGTCTGCCAACGTCACCAACGATGAGTCGCCTCACGATGATGAATGAGCTTTCGTAATGCTCTTGCCGAGGCTGCCTCAAAAGCCTCGTCTAAATTTCAATCATACATTCGCGCTTTGCGCCCTGAATCCCCTCCTCGCATAGTTCAACGAGAGACACGCTGGGGGAGAAATCCTTCGCCATTACTATAGGAAAACTGGTCGTACGTGGCACGTATCGCGGTCGGGTATCGAGCAGAACGGTTATCGCCATCTCGAAACCAGGTTACTAACATTGTGCTAGGTTGGGTTGGAAGAAGAACGATTCAAACACACGGACTCGTTAGAGTCCGTCGTAAAGCCGTTGATGCCGATAAACGTGGCGCGGCGCGGCGGCGCACAGGAAGATAACGAAACGTTCGCGGGTATATCAACGGGGTAACGACGTTTTGCTCCCGCGCAGCTGGTGTGTCGCGGTTAACGACTTAATTTACTCTCCGCCCGATACCAATACGTGCGAGCGACAGCCAGCACGACAAAATGTATCCTAAGAACTCTCCTTCCGAGAATCACGAGAACCGAAGGATCGTCGATAGACGTATCGAATCGAAAGTCATCGAGAATTGAAGAGACGAAAAAATGCGCATTGAACTTTTATTTTTAAACAGTATTGGAATGCTAAGCGTTCCGAAGACTGAAGTCTCGGAGTCTCGAGTCTCGAGTCTCGAAGCGTACTCACGGCGATCGTAAGTTTTTCCATTCGACGTTCGTCCTCCCTTCGCAGCGCCGATAGTCCCTCGAAGTCGATGCAGCCGAGTCACGTAATAAAATTATAAACCCACGGCGAGGATGACTCAACGCGCAGGTTAAGGTCGCTACGTGAAGAGGAAATACGTGACGAAAGGGAGGAAAGAAAACAAAGAGGAAGGAAAGGAGGAGGAGAAGGAGAAGAAGTCGGTATACATCCTACCACCGCGAACCAGACAAATTTGCGATTATCGATGCTCTTATGCTTATTTAATGCTTATTCAGTGGAGAATTCCATGCTTTGAAATTTTTAATACAACGTGACCAGCATACTGATACATTTTCTCGATACTGCCGATATCGTTGATATACTTTAGAGATATCGACAAGTATCCGAAAGAACAGCTCCAATCCATTTTTTTTTATCTGCCCTATCAGCCGCGAACGGAGCTGACCGTATGCAAGTTCGACAAACTCGTCGACGAGCGCAACGAGGTAACGGCCGACGATGCGAAATGAAGATCCGGAGTTACGCTGTTAGTACGAGTGCACGCTGTCATCGACGTGCGCGGCGACCGCGTGAGGCGACATGAGATGAGGTATCGTTCGTGTTTGGCAGGAGAAATCATGTAGTAGAAATTTAATCGGTACGTTATCAGCATTATACGAGCGTCTAATCCGCCCAGGTGCTGCTAAAACGCTCAATTTTCTGCTTAAAATTTGATCTGGGTACCAAAGGTTTGCGATATATAAATATATGTAAGTAAAGACAAATGAGAGAAAATAAGAATCGCATAAACTGTAATCTATCCGTGGCATAATTTCCGATATGATCTCGCACTCTTTCCGATATAGTAATTATGATTTTTCGAGAGATTCTGCGTGTCCATCGCAACATACGATAACGGTAATTCAGTCCAGGTCATAGAAGTTGAGAGCATATACACACTTGCACACATACACGCTTATACGATTATTATCGATCCGCGATAAAGTCCTCGATGCATCGGATGGAAACGACGGGCACGTTCGCTCGGCGTATCGCGATACGACCGTATCCGATCCCTCGAAATGCGCACCTGAGGAGACGCGCAAAATGGAAAAAAATTCATTTCCTGCGACGACGACGACGACGACGACGCAATCAGCATAAATAAACGGCCGAGATAAGAGAGCGCGGTCGGCGTGGACGTCGCGTCGCGTCGTGGGCAATTAAACAAAATTATTTATGCTTATGGATCGTTTGTCCGCGTCCTGAAGAAACACGCGGCTACGCCCACGCGAGATCGTCCCTTCCTGCCACGTATAAGAGGCACAATTGTTTCGTATACGTACAATTATTAAAACACATTTCCCGATTGGTCACGCAGTTATTAATTATTCGCTAATTACAGGGTGTGTCAGAAAAGCACCACGCGCACCACGCGTGTAGAAATTAGGGTGTTTCGTACAGACTGTTCCGTGTTTCTTGCGTATCTCATTGTCTACAGATTTCTTATTTCTTCGTGTTGCAATAGATTTTTCCTCGTCGGAAATGTTCGCGATGCGGAATCACGCAACAACACGAACGCGAGAATCTCAATCATCTTTTTTTACAATAATTGCGTTATTAACAATCAACGTGTTTTTCCTCGAACTGTATTCGAGGCCGTTCTTGCGAAGTTATTATCGCGCGACGATAACCTGGGAATTTTGTGCGAAGCCCACGCGAAAAAATTGCGTGTGTTCTTATCTGTTGACGGGACAACTCGTACGATCGATTATCGTGGGAGAGGCTCGAAACGCCCTCCTTCCCTCTTTTACTTGATGCGATCGGCATTTTTGCGTTGCGGACGAGTAGATTCGCGTGTTTTTGCGCATTTGCATCTTAATTATAATGCATTTATGTAATTCGCTATTCGCTATAAACAGCATTTAGCAGTCGCACAGGTATTATAAGACGGGCTTCTCCGTTTTTCTCTCCGACACTATACTTACGCATTTATAAAGCTTCCTAAGAAAATTATTCCATTTAGAAGCGTGTAACATATTTATGTGTACGTGGTGTAAAAGTAAAAAACACCGTTAATACTTTTATTCGTGTATTGAACGCGATCTAGAAAATTAGACTTATATTGAAAAACGAACAAAAGGAGTTGAATTGTAAATCAACGAGGACACCGAGAAAAGAATCGACTAACAAAGTTGCGAACGGCAGTAGTTGAAGAATGGGATCAAGAAGAGACCATACACACTACACACATCGCGATACGGCGGAATCCGCGAGAGCAAAGTAGAAATCCGAGTTTATCCAGGCTTTGTCTTACTTGGTCGCGGAATCGTGGAGATCTTCAAGAGAATGATTCTCGAGGGTTCATCGACAAGACTCGCGAAGCGTAAAAGAGCGGTGAGCGAATAAAAGAAAGAGAATGTTAGCTGAGACTTCTTGCTCTTTGAATATTTCGAATATTTCTCAATCGATGAGTCAAATCATGTTCATAAAATACTTTTAAGCAACATAAACGACCCGAAATGCAATATACAAAATAGAAAAAAATATGTGATTAACGACTTACGTGTGGCAGCGCGATAACGACATTGGCGTTTCCTTCTCCTCTATAAATCGCATCTTCTACAGCAAGAGCCGTAAGGGGTAAACTCGTCTCGGGATCGAACGATGATTCTTCCCTCGGATCTCCGGCGGAAGCAGGCGTCGTTTCTAAGAAAAACATGATGGGTTTCGGATGTACTATTTCTCATCAACGTATCGTCAAATCTGTAAGCAAACAAAAAAATGTTTAGTCAATATTTTCCGCAATTTTCGGTAATTTTGAAAATTTTAGAGACTTTTTTTGTCAATCTCTTAGAATATTCACCACATGATTGTTAACATGATTGAATAAACGTTTGGAAAGAAAATATAGAGAGCAATAAAGAAAGACAAAAGAAATTTGAAATCTTCAGTGTCCATTGGATTTTTAAAATTTATGGCTTGTATACAGAAATAATAACGAAATTTGTCCATCTAGGAACTCTAGAAATCTAGAAATATCTATAGTTCTAGACTGAGAGATTGCCGCACATGATAGAATTCATTGCCTCGATCGACGAATCGGAAAAGTTTTTGCGACGCAATTCGATATCTTTGTTAGATGTATATCCACGCTGACGTAACACGCGACCGTGCGAGATATCAAGTCGGTCAAGATTTGCGCAGCCATGACATTTCCTTAAGCTCGACTTTGCTGACCGGTAGCGGCGATCGTCGAAGAAAAATCGCTCGCCTCCGGTAGCCGGTGAAAGCCGAGCAAAGGCCGCTACGGCATTTCATATTGCCGTGTAACCGTGGAAATTCAAAAGCCGACCGATCGATTTCGATCCGCTATCAAGATTGCGCGATGGTATTTCGCAACGCTTCGGAGATCGCGATCGGTCACCGTTGTCGCCGCCGCGCGCCGTCGATATTAGCCTTCACGGAAGACCTATCGCCGAGGGTTTGGCCTTAACCCTATCAGGATCGCGTCCTGATCAATGACATCGAGTCGATCGGCAGATCAGAAATACACGTTTTTTCCCTTAAATATCAAACCACGAAAATAGATGACGCGACCGCGAGTACTTATAGTCTTTGTTTTGGCTATTGTCTTGGCGTAAATTGGAAACGCAGTCATACAGTCCTCGCTGACATGTCGTCACACATGTACAATGCTAATGAAACGGTCAGCGGAGGCAACACTTTCTCCCGTGCTAGATTCGCGAAACGAATTTGTGTAAAATAGCCGCGCGCCGCCGTTTGTTTTACTAGCCTTACCTGCTTTGAGTTACGTAAACTCCTTATTCAAGAATACGAATTTCTCACACTAGAAACCGCCTCGCCTTTTAGATACATACGAAGCCTTTCTGTCTCTAGTGATGTAATTACCCGCTGCCAATGACCACGTAATTGCGAGGAACGTCGACCACGTGACAAACGTTGAGATATAATACGAACGTACGTACATCGTTGTCCCTCGACAAAGAAAAGAGACTTACAGTAGAATTGCACATAAAAGTACAATTCAACGAATCACTTGATATTCATAAAGAGAAAAATATTACTCGTGTATACAGTTATCGTGAATCGTGAACCTTGTTCGCCGATGATACCGAGTTATAGAATTGCGTTACGCTATTACTCATCGTAAAGTGACGCGCGCTATTACACTCTGACGAACAAATGTCTCTCGTGAGTGGTGTGGCGAGTGAGATTCGATTAATTGGTTACGAAATATCTTATTGGAAAAAAAGCGTTCGTTCTCTCGATGACGTATCGATCAGTCGAATTTCGTCAGATGTTTTCAAACGCTACGAATAAAAATATTATATTAGATAACACAGGTAGAAAAATTAATTTTTATTAAACGCGGGGCCACGTCTATTTATACTGGTTATTGACGAATAACCTGTTGAATTTTATAGACTCGTCAAGCCTGTCGCGCTGTCCCTCGAGTGATAATGTAAAAATACGCTCGTAAAGTGGTTCTTGTGCAATCGAACGCTTAAAACTGTCAGACCTGACAGTCGGAGTAGCATCTGGAGGGTTCGAGTCGAGCGTCCGATGCTTGGAAAGCGACACTCTACCGATTGGTCGCGCTTCGAGAACTCGCGAAATCGGCTGTTCCACGTTGTGCGGTTTTCCAGTGACCGTCATGCGGCTATAGTATGCGCTTATGGTATACTCCGTACGCTAGACGCGAGACGATGAGTCACGCGAATGAAGTCATTTATGCCGGTAATAAAAAGAGAACTGCGACCGCGAACTTTCGAAAGAGTCGTTAATGAGCGCGTTAGCATCGAGATGCAAATCAGTTGAAAGGAGGCGCGTCGATTGCCAAAAATTCTCACGTCAGAGGTGCGTAAACGTTCTGGGACCAAGCTTTTTTCTAACTTCCGCTCAAATCAATGATTCCACGCGGAACGATCGCGAGTACAAGTTTTGTAGAAATGTTCATCGCATAATATGTCGCAATGTGAATGAAAAATTGTGTGCTGTATGCGATCTTCAGTTGCGCGCAATAAAATTGGGGCGTGATTCCGCATAGAGTGAATCTTTTCTGAATAGAGTCTCGTTTATTTCATCATGTTCGTTTATTCCCTCGCTATAATTCATAATTCAAGATACGCAAATACTATCGACATTTAAATCGCCTTTAATAAATCACCGTATCTCATTTGAGACTATTGATACCGCATGTCGATGCTAACCGAAGGATTATCGCGAATCACTTAACGACATTCTGATTGCGAGATAACGTACGACGCAAAAAAAAGACGGGGAGGATTAATACGAGCACGATGACGATCGGCATAGATTATAATGTAATTACATTTCGAAAATTAATAATAGAACGCAATAATTGACGAGTGTTCGTCGTGTTTTATCACACACCTAGTTTTATCTGTCGCGTCTCGTTACGAACCGTAAGGAGGTCTTTAATAACGACTTTAAACTGGAGCAAGCTGTAACTTATAACCGATAGCGGTGTTATTTTCCACTCGTTGGCTAGTAATAGAACGTATCTTTTACCGTTAGCCTAACCGTCGTGACGATCGTGCGCGTTTAAAAGATAATTGTCTTCTGTCGCCATCGAGAGCTACCTTAAAAGAGCCAGTAGCGCGTCGCACACAGTGATAATCTCATTACAAGGCCGGTTATTTTATTATACACGCTTCGTCACATGTCGGAGCTTAGAAGGTGATAGGTGCGGTTGGCGTAACGCATCTCGCGCATACGCTAAAGTTTAAACGACACTGTAAAGTGTTTATTGATTATTATTAACGTGTTACGCGCGTGAGCCATTACCGTTTACCCAGCTGGGATTGCTGGGATACAAATATCCCTTCTGAGCTCGTACGAGTTACTATTGTTTCGGAACACGCGCGTCGTAAAGGACCGCGTTTCCTTGTCTCCAATTTCCGCGCACTCGACGTAAAATACGCGACGTCTGGAACGCCCTGTACCGCGCGGCACTTTTTAATGGCACTTATACGTATGCCCTGGTATATATGCCGGCGCGTTTCTATAGGTACAGCGGCGACGTTGCCAGAACCGAACCGTCTTATCCATTTTCGCGTAAGGTTAATGACCGCCAGGCTTGCGAAACTCCGAGCGGATCAACGAGAGAGGTTTGCACGCGCGTGCACGTCGACCGCGCACACTGACGAGACGCGAGATGCATGCGGCGTAATTGGAAACGCCGCGTTTAATGTCCGCGGACGAACCAAACTTCCCGAGCACTATAAAGCCGCTGGTGTTCTCCGGGCCGATTAACCCGTAAGTACGGTCGCGGGGTAATTAAAACTTCCCAATTTCGCGCCGCCAGCTTCGCTGTAGGGAGGAGCTTAAGCTGTAAAGAGAGAGAAAGAGAGAGAGAGAGAGAGAGAGAGAGAGAGAGAGAGAGACTCGGTATCTTCTTAAAACACGTTAACCATTGTAGATTCGCGGTAGCGAAAGAAAAGTGTAAATAAATTATGTCTGCCATATATGCGATTACGCATAAATAAACCTTCGCCCGTAGGATTCTCTCGCACTCACTTTAACGGGATTGTTGGTCCAGCCCGACGAACAATCCCGAAGAGATTCGTCTGGAGTGGAGCTGAAATGCCTGAAATGCGTTGGACTCGCCAATTTGCCGAGCGGCGCTTTCCAACAAGTCGCGCAAGAACGACGTTGCAGCTCCGAGTATATAGAGTGCACTTCACCGTGGAACAATGCGCCGCGTCCCAAGACTCCCAAGGCAGAAGGATATGCAGCGAGGAAAGAGAAAAAAAGCAACGACGGCGGCGACGGTGGAAGAGGCTCGTCGTTGTTCAGTGATAAAGAGGCGGGGAGCGTGTGATTGAGCGAGCGTAAGAGAAAGGAGGGGTGGTAGGGGGAGAGAGAGGTGGATGGAATGACAAGAAAGGAGAACCTTGTTCCCTTCGCCGCGCCGCGCCGTGGCCGCGGCAATCGATAAGCGCAATTAAGACTCGCCTTTGAAATAAACGAAACAGCGAGAACGAGAGTCTCCGCTAATGACAGAGGAGAGAGAAGGAGGAAAGGACCTTTTGCCGTGGAGTATCATCGGCTTTTCGTTCACCCATCAGCGTCCGTTCCTCGTTCACGACTCGCAACCGCATTGAAGATTTGAGTGGCTCTCGAAATGATGACAGATATTAGAGAAAAGGTTTGCTTATTACATTTTTACGGTCTATCTGCTTACACTGGCTTACGCATTCTAGATGTCCGCGCGTAATCAAGATTGCGGGATATCATCTTCTTCCCACAATCGCGCGGTTTCCCCGCTGATCAGAGGATCACGACGTTCGTCGTCGTGAGTATCGGCTGGTAGAGCTAGCTCGGTCAAGCCGGTCGTGCAACCCGACGATCTCTTCGAGGCATTATGCAACATTGCCGAATGGCGTGCAGTTGGCAGGCAACAAAGTGTGATACGCAGCCTCGGCGAGAAACAAACTCGGCGAGGAGGTCGCGCGGAAGAGATTGGCAGAGGAGGATACCCAGGGCGGTAAAGAGAGAAAGAGAGCAAGAGAGCGGGAGGGGTGAAGTCGAGGAGGAAGGGAACTTCGTGCTGAACAGAATCAGCAATTCTAACTTACAAGGGGGCCACTAACCGACGAGCGGGCCAAGCGACGTCAGGGGGGCCGGAGCAACAACCGACGTTGACCTCCACGACAACCATCATCGGTGACTGCGGTGGCGGCGGCGTCGGCGGCGGCGTCGGCGGCGACGACGACGAC